GGCAGGTTAAAACCATTCCCTTTGTCCTGTCCCTACAGGCACTTGTAAGAAATCCCCCCCCAGATTTCCTGTATGCCCCCTTTAGAGAGTCACCAGCATACTGCTCTGCAGCATCAAAGCACAGAATCATAGACTGGCAGGTTGGAAGAGACCTCAAGGATCATCTGGTCCAACCTTTCTATCAAGATACTGGTGTAGTTACTAAGAGCACAGCAGGAAGAGCTTCACCAGGGGTAACCATTCCCCATGAGCTGGCGCAGGACCCCCAATACTGTCTCAACAGCACAAGCCTGTAAAACTCCATCTCAGAATATAAAGCCTTGTTGAAGAGCCCTGAACCATGCCTGTCCTCTGCTGTATAAATCATGTTTTGATCTGTGACTGCTGAATACTGCCCCTCACTCCCACAGCCATAAAAGATAAGGTTTTTTGGGTATGTACCAAGATACCCAAAAGGGTCTGAAACAAAGATCGACTCAGTCCCTTAAATATCAGGCTTTCAGTTGTTCCATGAAATAATTAGGATTTTAGGTACTTTAAAAAACATCCCTTATTTTAGAACATCGGCCTTTGCCAATGGGGACAGCACCCTCGTGTGGAAAACCGAAGTGCCTGCACACCCAGCCTGGCTTGCTCTGGTCAAAGCAATGAGTTACCATTTGTGCAAACAAAAAGGGAAGCAAAGATTGCAAGAGCAAGCAACTTCAGCCCTTCTACATTAAGTTTAAACTGCAGAAGACTGCAAAGTTCAAAGTCCCAGATACCCACCTGGGAAAAAGGTGAGCCTGAGAATTTGTGTTACCTATTGATACTCTAAATCCGGCAGCATTCTCTTTCTACCCCCTACAGCTGTGTCTCTACAAAGTGTGGTTAAATACCCTGTTGGCAGCAATGTCCTAGTTCAGTACAGAAAGCTGTAAAGACAGGAAAAGTTCTGCGACTTCAGTTGTTCCTTATATTTGACTGAGTAAATGCCTTTTAGGAGCTGTACCATTTGCTACAGCCACATTACAAGCAGGACCATATGGATCCACTAAAGAACTCATTAACAGCTCACCATAAATTGCCATCTTTATCCCAGTTATCCCCTGAATAGGCAACAATATTCACAAGGTAACAAAAAATAACCAAGTACCCAAGTGTAGAAAGCCCTCCCCACAAAACCCTTCCCCAAATCCAGTAATTGAACAAGAAAGAGATGCAAGGGTAGGCCATGCAGAGGCTCTCTAAGAACAGGGTAGGTGGCAAGGACATTGACTGCTGACAGTTATCATAGCAACAGAGATTTCCAACTGCTGTTTTAAGTAAAAACAGTAATAGTCATTTTAGTTTTGGGAAAATCCTAATGAAGAGAATCATGCCAATGAAAATAAAGCAAACTACAATTAACATTATCCATAAGAGCCAGTTGACTGATTTCTTTGCGTGCTGTTCCAGGCGGTCAGATTCATCCTTCAGCTTCTCAAAGTTCTGGTCTGCCATCCTCAGAGAATGAGAGAGTGTCTGTGGAGCAAGAGAACAAATGTTTTCAAACCCAGATGTGAAAGTTCTGACCACTATTTCTTCCAGCAGAGGAAAGGTTCATCTCCACTACAGAAGCAGACAGGTACTGTCTCCAAGTCTCCCCCCCTCTCATCAAGTTATAGGTAGAGTATTTAACATATTAGCACTTAACCTTTGGGTTAGCCCTTGCACATGCCCTACCTGGTTATCTTGTTTTATCACGTTCTGTGCAGCCAGAGTGTTGTTTTTGAGACTACGAGCCAAACTCAGCATTTCTTCAGCTAATTTCTCCTGCATGTCCTGATGATGCTGTAACATAGCATCCAGCTCCACTGCGGACTGCTTCTCATCAGACACAAGCCCTCTGCAAGAACATAAGGGGAAAGAATTGGGATTTAGACTTCCTTGAGGGTTGATGTCCAAGTGTCCCCAGACTCTGCAACTCTGACAACAAGAGCAGTCAGATCAGCTGCAGTCATTATTTGTTGGTTTCTACCAGCAGCACCCAAATGGAAGCACATCTGGGATTTAAAGGTCATTGGGAAAGCAGTTCCCGAAACACTGAGCATCAGGAATGAGGAATTCTGACTTACTTCCGCTTCCTTATGTTTAACTCCTCAGAATCTGGAGAAAATAGAAAAAGAAATCAATTCGTGTTTTAGCACGTTATAAAGTCCCATGCAATCACAGGCTGAAGAAACAAATTTTCTGTAAGGGATTTTCCAGTGTCCAAACCCTACTTGGCCCTCTGCCCCAGGGAACATGGATTTCAAATACTCACCTGCTGTCCATAGGGAAAAGCCAACGCAGAACATCAAAAGCAGGGTTGAAAGAAGAAAAACCTCAGATGAATCATATCCCTGAGGGCCTGCTTTAAGCCTATGTGCCTCAGTGTTCCCTTTCAGGACATGTTAGGTTGGCCTAGCTCCAACCACTGCAACAGCAGCTACAGAAACTGCAAATTGATTCCTACCAGTTCCCTACGTGAATAATGTGGCTGTGTATTTAGGAGAAATCAAACAACACCTACTCTAAGCTCCTAAAATCACATGGAACAGCAGCTACAATAAAGGCAAATTGTCCTTGCTAATTCTATAATTAGAATGTCTGTTCCTTTATGAGTTTCAGAAAAATGGGCTCGTACAAGGCCCTGCTACTACAGAAATAACAAAACTTGGGCTTTCATCTGTCAGGGGTTGTAGTTTAGTCTGGTTTTAAAATCTGCTATCTTGAATTAAGCCACTAAATTAAAACTACATTTTGGCCAATCTCCAACATGTGACCCTCTTCTTTCCCTCCTTGTAACACTCAGGTTAACTAAAGCTAGAGAAATCAACTGATTATACTTACCATCTATAGCCAAGGGGTCCTCGGAGGCAAAAAGAGAAACAAAACAGAGTATTATGAAGGGTCAGTGATAACGGACAGTCCTCCAGGCCTAGCATGGTGCCTGTGCCCAGTATTTAAACTATCCAAACCAGAAAAAGGCGACTCCCCACCCAGCCTGGGGCACATCTCAGACACAGCCCCCAAAGGCAGCAGAACGCAACAAGAGACGCTCTAAAGCAGCAGCAGCACCCAAACATACTGTACCAAGCAGCTCACTCCTCATTTTGCCTGTGCAACGAGCCTTTGTTTGCAGGTGAACTGTTTTGGTAGCTGGGGTTCTCTCTTTCGTTGTTGTGGGGGTGCGGCCAGGGGCCAGGAACTGATTTGCCAGGGCCTTTTCAGTTGAGGAAGGCTGCGATAGGAAGAAGCAAGGAGAAGTCAATGAATAGCACATTCTGTAGGATGAAGCCAATGGGGGGGGATGACCACAAGGATGTGAGGAGCCCTTCTCAGCTGCTGCCCATAATGAGCTCTGCCTGGACCTGCACTAACTGCAGCACAGCTTGTTGGCACCCCAGAGCCTTCCTGATGCACGTGGTACCATCCAAAGCAGGGGTCAGGCCACAGGGACAGTACCTGCCCCTGCATCGCGCACCAAAGAGGTGAGACGGAGGTAGGGAAGATGTACTTTGCTTTCGAAGAGGAGGAAACAAGTTTCTCCTTTCATACCACAGCTCCTTTCTAACTAAAGGCTGAATCCAACCTATTCATTCACGTTTTCACAAGGACTGCCCGCAAAGATTTTATTAAGAGTTACTTTGAAACGCAAAGTAAAGGCAACAGGGTAACCATAAACAGAGAAGACAGGTTTTTACAAGCCAAACTAGTTGATCTTACCAATTTTTCAGCTTCTAAAAGCCCCTTCAGGAAGTCCACTTTACGAGAGTATTCATTCAGCAGCTCTGGGGCTGGCTTGCTATCAGCAATGAAAACAGTCACATGAAAACCCGACGTTATCAGGATTTCCTGTCGTCCAGGCTACTTTCCCAATAAAATCAATGGAAGAAAAGCCCCTATAAGTGGCTCTTAAAGAAGCGGTTTTAATAACGAGCCCGCAAGAGAGCCTCCCCCTCCCCGACCGCTTCAGAGCGCGGCTCACCTGCTCTGCTGCTTCAGCTCCCGGAGCATGTCCTCAAGAGCAGCCACATACTGAGGAAGGAGAGAGCTTTTAAGCGACGACATTAAGGCGAAACATTCTGTCTGACAGGGGCTGCCAGGGCTGAGAGCGAGCCCGCGCTTTCATCCCTCCATAGCGCTCACTGCCTCAGTCTATTCCGAGGAGCCGAACCGACCCCCCCCCGCCCCGGGTCCCACCTCACCTTCTCCAGCCGCCACTCCTCGGGGTCCCGCCGCTCCGCCGCCAGCGCCTCGCACCGGCTCAGGAGCCGCATCAGGTTCAGCTCCAGCCGCGTCGCCGCCATCGCGAACGGCCGCTACCGGAAGCGTCTTCAGGGCCACTTCCAGGCGGCGGGCGCCATTTTGGGGCGGGGCACGGGCAGCGCTGGGCGGGCTCTCAGCACCCTCCCAGGGAAGAGCTTCTGCCTCAGAGCTCATCTCAGTCTCCCCTCTGGCAGGTTCAAGCCATTCCCCTTGGCCTGTCCCTACATCCCTTGTCCAAAGCCCCCCTCCAGGTTTCCTGCAGCCCCTTCAGGCACTGGAGCTGCTCTCAGGTCTCCCCTTCAGGAGCCTTCTCTTCTCCAGGCTGCCCCAGCCCAGCTCTCTCAGCCTGGCTCCAGAGCAGAGCTGCTCCAGCTCCATGGCCTCCTCTGGCCTCACTCCAACAGCTCCACGTCCCTCTTGTGCTGCTGCCCCAGAGCTGGACCAGGGCTGCAGGGGGTTCTCCCCAGAGCGCAGCGGATGGGCAGGATCCCCTCCCAGTGTTGGTTTCTGGGCTCAAGCACACGCTCCTGGCATACGCCAACAGGGAGCAGGGTAGACAGAGCATGGATTTCACAGCAGTGCCATGGAGGGCTGGTGTGGAGCCAAAACATTTTCTGTATGGTGGCACCTTGCCCTCCGGGGCTGCGCTGCACAGATGCACTTCAGAGCCTCCTTCAGAAGAGATGGTTCATCAGATGAGACAGACATCAATAACCTAACACATGTACTTTTAAAAGTGCAATGTATTAATAAACGTTTTTATATAGTTTGGTCTCAGTTAAGACTATTACAACATGAACAGTTCTGTAAACCACACAGAAAGTTGTCATAAAACCATACAAAATCAAGGCAACACACACTGACCCACACTCACTGTTGGTCCCATTGGAGTCCGTCGTAAGGCAAATGGAAACAGGCACGGCAGCAGAGTCAAGGGACTTTTGCTCTACACTCAACTCATGTATTTTACTCACCGGTTCTACTTTCACTGCAGGGTTTTAACTTAAAAGTGAGGAGTATTCTTTTGAAACAACCTTGTTTAACCCTCACAGTACTGTCTATTTCCAGGCCACCTTCCCAGCAGCCATGCAAAACAAGGTCACAGCCTCCAAAGGGTTAAAGCCAAGGCTGCAGTCGACTTCAAAGAAGCCCAGAGAGCATCTTTCACTTTTCTATACAGGGAGCGTGAGAGTACGGGTCCGAAAACCTCCGTTTGACTTTCGCTGTTGGTTCGTAGTCATCCAAGAGTTCCTGAGCGTGGGCCACGGCAGACCCTTGTGCAATGTACACCGAGTGGATTTGATCAGTTCGCCTCGCTGGCTGCTCCCTTCGTCTCACCGGTAGCTGAGGCTCTTCGTTAGCTGAAATCCTGCCCTGGGATTCTGTACACTTGAAAAGGCCGGGAGGGAGCTTTATATTTGCCGTTGGTATGACTGGAGTTCGACGGGGCACTTTAAGCCTGGACAGTGTTAAAGATGATCTGTGTCTTGAAGGCAGGGATGCAGAGGGAGAACGTGAAGAGGTTTGCAAAAGAGAAGGCACTTTGCAAATGTCTTTGGCAGGATTACCGGAGCTCTGAGTATGGCAGCGTAATCCAGTAACTGCTTTAAGGAAACAGAATCCTTTAGATACTGAAAGCATGTAACTTGATGCAAGCAATCGTGACCAGATAGCATCTGGTCACCTGGCTTCATGTGGTGAAAGATGGAGAATAAAAAAAGCACACACTACCTTAATACTGACCTTCGGTATCCATCCGTCCTGCTCGATCTTCAAGCAGGCTCTCTGTGCTCGCTGAGGTCTCAGAGTCTACATTCTCCTCATCAGAGCCTCGCTGATCGAGCTCGGGTAACCGGTAAGTTATATCTTCCCTGCATCAAAACAGAGATTGTAGCGCTCTAAAGACAGTGTTCTCTGATATGAGTGACTTTGTGCAGCTCATGCTCAGAGGTAAAGCTGCCAGCATGCAGTCATTACGTATTAATTCTCATGGGTTTTCCTCTCAGCTAGTGCTTTGTACTTTCCTTTTCCCCTTCATAAAGGCCTATAGAACAAAATTCACTGGATCATTTGGGACAAAAGGTATCCTACTTTACTACCTGTATTACCTCCAAGTGCACAGGGCATGCTCTGCAGAGATAAAGGGTCACTTACTTTTCTTCTTTTATTGACTGTATGCGATCGATGAGAATCTCCTTTTCCCGGTTATCTGCTTCAGAAACGTCCTCCTCTTCATGCAATGAGTCCAGTTCCGAGTTGCCACTGTCACTGCCTTTGACCTGTGAGCTTTTACTCTGCAAGACAAATTTACATGTAACACTTCTCATAAGTCATAAGAAGCTATACAAGTCTGGACTGTCTACTAGTTGCAAGGTGGAAAACAAATGAGTAGCCCAAATGAAAGGCTGATGGAATTGATGGAGAGTTGTTAGTTATCCATACAGATGCCTCAAAAAGCAACAGAAATTTTCCTATTCACTGGATTCCTGGGGGGTTGTTCTCTTTAAGCATAGCAATTTGATTTGCCAGCCTCAGATTAGTTTTAGTAGACACTTACAAGTAATATTATTACATTGAATACATGTTACATTCAGAATGTCTATGACAGAACAGGTCAGCAGCCCTGCATGCAGGCTGGGGAGAAAGTGGCACCAATACATGCAGTCTTGATTGTTCAAGAGTATTTAAAACCAAGTGACAACATATGTAGTAAGTATTTTAGTCATGCAGTAGTACCATATAGAAAAAAAACACCCCAACACATGCATTCTTAACACAGGCAATGTACATACCAGCATCCCCTCATAAGGGGAAGAAAACCCAAGTTTTACAGGCCAGAGCTAGGGAGAGATCAAGACCAAATTCACTATATGAAGCTTCTGATCAGACTTTGGTTTGGTTTAAATCAATACAACAAAACCAAAAGAACACACATATCTGCCCTATTAAAACACAGCATATTTTTGTCCACTACCCGCCTCTGGAGTGAAGGATCTCCTTTGCCATGTAAAAGGCTCAGCAATCTTAGTTCGACTGAGTGATGTTGACCACAAGAGTGGATCCCCACCCCTGCACCCTTCATTTACCAAGCAGACTACAATGCAGCTGTATATTTAGCTGGACTTATTGGGTAAGTCCAAATCCACTTTTTCTTGCAATTGATCTTTGACTTACTGAATGGGATGGCCAGAACAACTAACATATCCCTTCCCAAGAAACTGGCGAGATGCTTTCTGCTGGATGGTGTGGCTTGGTGGTTTGTTTCAACACTTACCATGTTCTGCCGAAGCAAGGAGAGGCGTCGAAAAGCAATGCTCTCGGCTGCTTCCAGCTGATTGATTTCATCCATTTTTATCTTGTACTTCCTTATCTGTTCCTTTATGAGCATCTCTACACACCTGGAGAAAAGGGCAAGAGTTTATTGAGCAGCCTCTTTTCTTTAAAGGCTCTGGAGACAATGACAGTGGGATGGGATACCTCTCCAGGCTTGGGGATGTTTGCCATACATGCACATGGATGACATGCAGTCAAAATGTCCCAATGGCATGGGAACAGGTTGAACAGACCAACACATAAAATAAAACAGGACAGACTGTTGAAGACCCTGCTATATGTTCTTCCTGGGATAACCAGAGCATCTCATGCTGACTGTACACCACAATGGTAAGTAAACAGATATTACCATGGCTGCTAACTGCTTCTTCTGCCCATCTCCCCTGTGCTGCCACAGAGTGGTGGATACAGAATGACCCTGCAACTGTCCTTTTCCACCTCTGTGGCCCCATGGGTCAGGAAGAAGTTACAAAAAGCTGCAGTTTTTCAAACTTTATTTCATTGGAGACAGACACAAGGCCAGCCATGCAGTGAGGATGGCAAGGAGCATTCAGAGAGCCAGAGCTGCTGGAGGGTGAGAGGAGATCAAAGAGGCTCAAGGACTGAACCTTCTTCAATTCAAGGAACAACACAGAAGAAACAATCAGGGGTTTCCAAATATGCAGGAGGCAGTTTAATTCTATATCCTACTGTTTATTACGGCTTGTATCTCAGAAAATACGTATGATTAGTGTACAATCCCCACAAAAGATTATCTTGATGTAAAATACAAACCTGCTGTTTAAGACTTAAGTCATCCTACTTTATCCCTTGTAAACTTGAGACAGGTGGAATGACTTGGAGAAGGGTGTATAAATGGACAGCACTATCAGAGCCAGAATTTAGCAACTCTTAACCCAAAGTTTCTCAGCTTGATATGAATAAGCTTCCTTATTCATATCAATGGCCTTCCATCATATTTCAAAACACTACTTTGCAGCAGGCTGCTAAAACTTACATGGTTGTTTTTGAAACATCTTTCATGCTGGTTAAAGGGTCAGAGGTATCAGGACAACGCAAAAGGCACGGAGCAAAAACAATGGCCAAGGCATTGGGTGACATCCGGTTGACATCTTCTATCAAAGCCACTCTGAAAGTCAATGTTTAGGGGAAAACCAAAACAAAACAGATTTTAAGTGAACCTTGCTAGGATAGAAGCAAACTGATCAAACTTTGCCAGACTTCCCAAACAACATGTATGGAAATCTGTGGGGTACTAAGTACATAGAGCAGTCCAAAGAAGTTTCAACATTAATTCACACCTAGGTATTCAAAGTCTCATACCTCCAAGAAAGGAACAGGAGCCATCCAGGCTAAGCTAATCTGGTAACCTCTTAAAGCAACTCTGGTGATTTAATGCCTCCTCCTTAAAAATCCCTTGTCTCTCTGTTCAGAAGACCACCTCAAGTTCCTTGGATAAGAGCAGCCCCTTTACCAGTACCACTTATCCCTGCTCCTAAAACTACTGTTTGTGCAAGCATTTATAATCCTTATGCAGTCCCTACCAAGTACACTGACATCCTTGGTTCACTGTGTACTCATCTGTATAAATCCTGGTGTTCAGGAAAGACTCACCTAGGCTTTCAGATCTACCTTGTCTTCAAAGTTGTTCTTACCTAATTTGATACAAATACACCAGATGGTAGAAGTAAGCACAACTATCAACTTCAATTCTTTCAGTTCTAGACCAGCAGCACAATCACTACACTGACACTTTGGCATTTAAGGTTCTAGGAAGCTTCCAAGAGGGACTCAAAAACATCTCATGGAGTTTCTCTCCAAATGAAGTGATTAAATTCATTACTTGACCAGATGGAAGATGAGTCGCTCCAAGGTATTATGATTTGCTTGTGGAAGCTGTTCAAGGACACTGTAAATGGCACTGAGTTGCTCCTGCTTTTCTGGGAGTTCTGCACAAGGGGAGAAAGCACAAGATGATAATTGCTGTGCAACGCCAGTGAGAGGCACTTACTGACATTGTCTCAAACAAAAGAGATTAAATTCTTAGAGGTCACACTGCCATGTCATTGTTATAACTGGATATTAAAGTAACCCTCATGGCACTGCAATTTTCCTGCTCTTTCAGAGCTGCTGTGGCGAGCAATCGTCAAGTGACACATCAACACCTCCAACACTATTTAGAATACCTCAATGAGGAGAAATCCCCTGAAAAGTGTTCTAAGTAAGATGTCTAAAATCATTGCTGCAAATACACTGTAAGGAAGCTTTTTCACCAGCATGAGCACCTTAAGAGCTTATTTCCCAAGGGCAAAGAGAAAACACTGCTTTGAACAGTTCTAAGACCTACCTACAGCTCGAAGAAAGTCATTGTACTGGGCAGATGTCATCAGGGGATCTGGTAACTCCCGGAGCCATTGCTTAAGGACGCCCGTGATAGTGTGAATAGGGTAATTCTCCAGTTTCACTGAGTTTGGATCTGAAAAGAAAAGGTTTTATTTAGAGCAGTTCATTCCCCTGATGTACAGAATGGGAACCACAAAGTAGTAAGATTAGAAATAGTCAGATCTCCTGGTCAAAGAATCCAAGTGGCAATTTGGAAGCAGAAAAACCAGTCTGCTGACAGTGATTTATATGTATTAAGCAGCTTTTCCCATCCAAATGGCAGGGAAAACTGCAAGGAAGTCAAAAGGGCAGACAACATTGCCTGACCTGCTTGCAGCAACTGTTTCAGCTCCTTCATTCGATTTGCTGATCCTGATTTCCTGTAAATGCCTTCCGTGTAAAGGCCGTGCATCTCCACGTACTCCAGCAACTTCTCCATGACAATGGGGACTGAATTTCTCTCACTGGTCAGGGAACTCACACACACTCCAAAATGTCGTGGTTCTGTGTCCTGTTCGTTCTGGAATTGATACAGGTCAAGCACTGTGAATACCTGTTCCCAAGCTAGAAAATTCCATTGCTTCATGCTATAATTAGCTTACGCTTCCAGAAACAAAAACCGAGTGTTTTATCCTAGCTGGCTACAAGCCTTTGATCACAAGGCAGATTTCCTGAGCTGCAGCAATGAAGAAGCACTGTAGTACACACAGAAGGATTTCTTTAACAGTTTTGTCCAACACAGCACACACACTCAAGGCAGAAGTTCCCAAATTAGCTCAAGTATCACCTTTAGAAGAGTGTTCTGTTTCTGCAGCTGCAGGGCCTGCCTCTATGTGCAGACAGAGAAGGGAACTGTTGAAGCAATTTTTAGTCAGTGCCTGAACATTCACTGCTCATTTTCCGAGTTAAAAAAGGCAGCATTTTGCGTGTATCACTTCTGGTATCACAGTTCCACATCCCAGATCTACAGTTCTTACCTTTTTTCCACAGGATGTACAGCTGCTCTGGATTTTGGACATGCATTTCTTGTGACAAGTCAACTTGCAAGCTAGAGGAAGAAGCAATTGTTACAAGCCTTCCAAATCACATCAGAGTATCTTGTCTTACTCACTTACTATATAAACTGCATCTACTGCTCACTCATCTACACCAGGCAGTTACAAACAATCTGCACATCCTGGCAACTAAGTGGCACAAATGAGGGGTTTCAACTTACCACTGCAGAGGCAGGCCTTTTCCATGGGCCAGATGTAGGATGAGCAGTGCTCACACGATTGCCGTATGTTCACTTGGTAGTTTGTGAATACGTGGCCACAGTGTTCCACAATCTGGTGGGAGACAGGAAGGAACTCATGGACTTCTTGGCCTTTTTAAATTATTATTCTTCATTTTAATCTTTCCTAACTTATATTTTCCACCATTATTTTACAATTACAGCTGATGGCTTTGACTTGAAAGCTACGTTTCACTCTGTCTTATGGCAATTGGGTTTGTTGGATTATTTTGTGATTGATTTCCTGCCTTGGTTAAGTGTAGTATCTTCATCAGTGCAATACCACAGTATCAGCTATAGCTCATTATTAAGATTTAGTAATGTTTTCCTTTAAACAGTTCAGAGACTGAGAAAGCCAGTAGGTTCAAAGAAATGCTATGGACAAGGAAGGAAATGCTCAAGTAGCACCTGTTATTGCTCGAGCAAGATCTCCGATTTATGGAAACCAGTTTTGCATTATGTCACATATTTATAAAAAGAGGTGAGTAATTTAGCATGCAGAATAAAGAGAACTTCAGTACAACATCAAGCTCTTCCAAGAGTGTTTTCCTCTGTTCTGAGTGCAGCTGAGGCCTTAGATTATTACAGACAGAAAGTACTCACTGCACGGTCTTGTTTTCGTTTCTTCTTCTGGGCCTTGGTTTGCTGCAGTGGAACAAAGAGCTGGCATTAGCCTTTGAAATTCATACATTCCATTCCTACTTTTTCCTATTCAGTTTCCCAGACGCTACTTCACCTCCAGATATTTGAGACACTATACATAGATATATGCATATAAATACATACTTATATACTGCAGCTTGGTATGAGGGCTGTCTGAGCCCAGTGTCAGCTTCCTAAAAATCACCTGAGCTCATTGCATGATGACAAAGCAACTCCATCCCTAAAACCTTCAGGGAACTCCTAACTTTTCAAAGAAAATGCACAAACACTAAGATTCTGGAAATATTAAGACTAAATCAAATAATGAACAATTCCAAGAGGTGTATCAGCATTCAGAATGCGTTATACACATGATTTGCGTATGGAAGGTGTTTCCCAATTAATGAAGAATGCTATGGAAAAGGCTTCTGAGGTCCCACATGTTCCTTATCCTAGGATAGGATTTAATCATCCCATAAGCCAGTAACAGAAAGTTTTATACCTTGGGCTGCTCAGATTCTTCTTTTTTGTTATATCCTCTGATGAATTCATCCAGAAGGGACTGGAAAAGATTCAAAACTAGCTTGACTTCTTTCTCTTCCCTTTTTTTGGCCAGATTTGTAACTAGAAGCTGGTAATTCTCCATTAGATCTTTGTAGCCAACATGGATTTGCCCATTCTAGAGAAGGAAAACAATGTTATTCAGAAGACAGTCTTCTTTTTGGATACCATTGAGGAGGTTTCATAATTAATGTGTCTAAGCTCACAATGAAAAGATAACAGCCCATGACAGAAACACACTTCCCTACTACACTGCAGAAAGGCATTTGGCTGAGACAAGGCAGTGTTGGAAGAATATTGGAAAAGCTGTTGGCACCTCTCCTTGGTGTTTAAAGACAGCAATATTAAGAGGCTGAAGACAGTAAAATCCATCCTTCTCTGAAAATAAGTTACAGCTGAGTGAATGTGAAAAGGGAAACAAAACAGTCTACAGATTACAGCAGAACTGTGAAATATTCAAGTCTTAACACTCGGCTTTGAATTCTATGCTAAGAATTGCTGAGTTGCTTTGTTACAGAGCTGTAGGTCAAGCATTTCAACTGCACACAACTCATTTATTTCCTACCAACTTTTCACTTTACTGGGGCTTGCTACTTACAGGAGCAGAATACATGGTCTTGATGTTTCCTCGAAACTTCTCTGTGGCTTCAAAAAACAAGCATTCAACACCAGACTTCTGGGAGCGCAAGTCATTGATCTGGAAGGCAAATACACCTGCATCAAATTTCATTCAAACAGGAACATCCAACCAGTGTTAAGCTTCAGTTGCTGGGCTTAGTCATGTATGGCCAGTCCTGTTATTTACAACAACATTTCTTAATGCACTGTGATATGGTACAAAACAGGAGAGTCGGGTGTCTAGGCTCTAGAGAGCTCCATTTCCTTACAGCTTGTGCCTTTTTTAATTCAAGTTTTGCTGCCCACTTGTTTGCAAACAAACTAAGAAGTAACATGAATGGCGTGAGTAATGTAATATTAAGAGACTTGAAGGAAGGGCCTTAATACAGACCTACTTCAGTCAAGCTATCAAATCAATTCCCTTTTGCTTTAAATCCTAACATACAGAAGTCTTTCGAATTCCACACAAACAGAGACTTGAATTTTTACCTTATTTAGGAGGAACTCATCCAGATGTTTCAGTTCATTGGCATTTGCAATCTCACGGACCATGGAAGCTCGCCAGTTCTGAGATACACTGGAGATCTTGCTGATCTTTATAGTACGGTTCTTCTTTGTCTTACTGCTCTCTTTCAAATGGCGCTCCCCTGCCTGGGGGCGACTGGGCTGCGCTGAAGAAGCTGGGAAAGACATTAGGTTGTACATGAAAGCAGGATGGTTGAATTCTGCAGTATTTGCTTCCTCAGTAGCCATGCAAAACATCACAGAAAAGTTTGTACTAGCAAGCTGAGAATTAAGTCACGCAAACTCACCTTCTGAAGCTTTCTGTGTCCCTCCTGTTTCTGCAAAGAGGACACAAGACACAAGGGAGAGGCCTTCTTCATCAATCACATCAGGACTCTCCTTTGGAATTTTCTTGTCTGGCTTTTTGCCCAGAAGTCTACGCAAAGGACTTTTAAAAGCAGACCTGTACGCAAAAGCAGATATGAGTTTGTCACATTAGTAATGGAAGCTGGCTCTGCTACGAGAAAAGGTTCTTTTAACAGCAACCCATAACAGGATTAACCTTCACTGTGATTATTACTCTAAGATCCAACCTAGAGAAAACAGAGCAGCACAAATAAAATGGAAAGACAGTCTGAACGAACACGTGGATATTCTGGTATCTACCAGATTAGAGCACTATCTTCAACATACAACAAGACAACAGAGCACACATCCAAGACATCATTTCTGGCACACAAAGCTCCCAAGTTGCAGAATGCCAGACACAGGAGCAGGCCAGAGAAACAGCATTACATGCTTGCTGAGTTCTTCAGCTTCTCTCCTGGGTGTCTGATTTCTCAACCTGGATGACAGCACACTAACAAACCTTTGATCTCAGCTGGATGGTGGTTCTAAGGTTAACAAGAAACAGTTCAAAAGACAAGCACCCACCAGAGGAGAAATCTCCTCTTTTCAGTTTCCTAAAGGCAGGTCACTCACACACACAATACATACTTGGCATCTATTTGCTGACTTGCTGGCTGCATGGAACTGGCTGTGTCCAAGGTAGACAAGAGGTCACCGGGCCTCTTTTGCACAGGATATTTCTTGTTGCCTTTTTCTTCTTCTACTGCATCTGGTGATTGCTACAGTAGAGAGAAAGAGTCAACAAACTACATATTGAGTGAAAGAGATTCTTTAAATGGTTTTAAGAAATAGATTGGTGGAAAAAAGCTTGCTTCATCAAGACAAAACCCTTTATCCAATAGATATTTGCTTACTAATGTAAGAGCCAAGTATATATAACACTTTGATCAAAGTTACTACAAATTATGTTTTCAAATTGTTGTATAGTATTTGCTAATGAATTATTCTTCTGTGGATGTCAAGTCAAAAAACTATGACTTGACAGGAACACAGGCATCACTGGAGCCAGGTATTCACAAACCTTTAATACCTGTAAACAAGAATAATTAAGTATAAATATGCACAACAGCATCAGTACCTGACTCATGATAACACACTGGGCCAGTATTGAAAGATCACTTAATGAAGATGAATTCCCCTTCTTTCTGCAATGGTAGAAGAATTCTGTTTCAGAATACATGTTTTATAGAAATCTGTAGCTTCTTCATATTTATCACATTTAAATACCCACATCTCAATGTTACATCTAAGAAATAATCCGGATCAACTCTTTAACTCAGTTTGAAATGCTAAATGTACTGGAGAAATAAAGCAAATAATGGGTATGTCAGATTTCCTGACACATCGGAGGTATGATGCTTGTAAACTGCAAGTCACTACAACTTTGTTTCCAGTGAACAAAACACATATGGAAACAAACTCCAGACACTACTTTAAAGCCCCAACTCTCCATTTGAATTCAGCAAGACAGGCTTTGCATCTTTCAGTAGCTTCTGAAAACATTCTACCCATACAAATTCAACTGCAAGACTGATGACTGGGAGCCAAGAGAAAGAGCAGTTGTTCATAGCTATATTTTCTCTCACCACATGGCCAGACAGACAGGCTCTCAGGAGCCCTCCATCTATTTTCTAACATTAAAGGTATCTGTTTTCTGACAAAGTCAAATAATTAGGAAGCTGCCCTTACTCTAACTGATCCTGAGGAGACTTATCCACACGCGTTCTTTCATCCAAAGACTGACTCAGCATATCATTATGACCAGCATCTGATTGTCTCTTTCCTTTCCACTTCTCTCTCTTGTACTTTAGCTTCCCTGGGTCATCCACGTATCTCTGAATTGGGGAAGAAGTAGGACTATCCAGATCTTTGGCTGCCTTCTGAACAAGACGTTTGTTTTTATCTGCCCAGCATTCAGATGGAGTTTGAAAGCTCCCAGTAGCAGATAGGGTATTATGAAGATTCAGTGCAAGATTTTTCGGTCTTTCAGGGCAGTTAAAGCTTTGGCTGCCTTTTATCTGGTTATTTTGATTCCCTTGTGTTTTCATTCTATCAACTGTCATATCTACTTCTGATACAGGTGGTTGCTCAGGGATAGAACTACTTTCTTTTAGCTCACTTGACAGTGCCATATCTGAAGTAACTTTTTCTTCAATTGGATTTCTCTCTCCCTCCCTGCTTCCTTGAAGAACAGGATCTTCTGCTGTGGATTTCTCTTGCACTGGAACAGTTCCCAGGGACTCTTCAGAAGAGGTCTGTTCCTCGTGGCACAGTGAAGATGGTCCTTCGAGGGAAAGCAAGACATGCTTATTCTGTAACTCGTTATGTTCCAGCCCCCTCTGCCGGCGAGATTCCCGTTTCTCCCGGCTGTTTGTTACTTTCTCAGAGGCCTCTGTCATGTTCTTCTGGGGCAATGTGGCTTTTTCAGATGAGGTTTCAGATTGCTCATTTGGAGTTTGATCTCCATCCCCAACAGCTTGATCCAGCTCTGATCTGTGTGTCTCAGGCAACTCATCTGTGGATGGCTCACTGTGCTCATCCTTGCTCAGATCGTCTTGACCTTCCGGTGTTTTTCCCTGCTTTTCTTCAGCTTTCTGCTTTTCTAGAGCCATTTTCTGAAATCTGTTAAGAATTTGCAAGGTAAAAACACAAATATGTTAATGCCCAGGGGTTAAAAAAAGTACCCAACTGTTTAAATTCAGCCTCAACAGCAATACTGGCCACAAAGTACAAACACACTTACAGTCCCAGTAGGACTGCATGGAGGTCTGCTTGTTAGGACTCGCATGCATCAGTGCAACTCAGCTGAATCACGCTTGAGTATGAAGCACTGAACCAGCTTCCACACAGCACCAGCCATTTGATACTGACTGCAGCATCACAGGGTAATAGCTCTATTTGTTTACTAAGTAAATATATATCACACAGAAACTGAGCTTGGCAGGTGAAGCCAAGTAGCACAGCAGTTAAAAGGCATGTTTTCGTATCAGATTGCTCCTCTTCCTTTACCTCTTACGTTGTAGATGCCCTCTGACCATGGCCTGGAGGAGACAAATCCTCCTCTTCTGCTGAAGGTAGCATTTTCGCTCCCTGTATCTTCGCCACACTGACTGAATATAAATGGCAGCATTATTCCTCTGCAGTGCCATCCTAACACATCGGGAACGCCAGCAAGCCTAAGGAAAGAGACTTCTAAAGTAAGGGAGAGGTGCTCAAAGGGTGGCTGTTATTTGAGCGTGTTGGTTGGTTTCTTAGGCAAAGGTGATGCATGGTTCTCAGGTACCTGTAAAACAACGGCTGCCTGTCGTGTTCGGAGAAAGCGTCTCCTTTCTAAAACCATCCTGAGCCAGCTCTGAAGGAGGATGATTTTCCTGATCACTTCCTTGTGTAGTGTATCCTGTAGTCTCTGCCGTTCAGCCTCTTTCATGAAAACCTGCTCAGTTGAAGTTCATCAATAAACAGTTAACAAGAGCCTTGCACCCCCACTGGAAGTTACTCTGCATGCTAAATAATGGCTAATGAGAATGCTACTGAACTAAGTTTTATCACCTGACAACACACCTCAAAAGTCCTTTTGTTTTATCAAATCTCAGTGTTTAGATTCTTAAACATACAACTGTACCTGCAGCCTTCAAATCACAGAACCCTTCTAAATTAAATGCCAATAGCAGCAATTTCCCTAAAGTAACACCCATATAATACAGAATTGTACTGTATTGCAAGATGACAGGCTGGCATCAAAACCAAGGAGGCAACTCCTAATGTCTGCAAGAGTTAAAAAACCCTAATTTAAATGCAAAATGCAAAGAGCAACACCCATAAATGAACTGCACTAAACTCTGCCATGTACATCAGGATTTCTTACTGGCTTAAAGGAATTTTCACAGACCTTGGTCTTCCCTATTTGATAGTAGTTTTCATCCAGTTTTAGTTTATTCAAATAAACACCAATGTCTTCCTTAGAGGCTTTGGCATTTTTGGGCAGTAACACCTGAAACTGGTCTATGAATTCCTGTGAAAAGCAGCGACAGGAAGAGATCAAAGTTAGAAAGCAACGCACAAGTTTTAGCTTTATTTTAGAAATCTAGATGACATGTAAGCTGTCTGGGTTTGAAAGTATTTATTTCTCCCTCCAAATTGAGCTACTTTTTCTTCCCCTGTAAATCATAGGCTTCATTCAGCCTCCAGTTAAAGATCACCCATATGTGATCTATAAAGTTAATTTACAGAAAACTAATTCACATATGGAGACAGTAACGTGCAGCACTGGTTGCCTGTAATTGCTTATAACAGCACAGTGCTTTCTTTCATTCAACAAAGAGAGCAACTTACTGGTACATGACTCACACAGATTAGACTACAACTTGTTACCATGCAGGCTCTAAAAATTCACTGTGGTTCTGACACAATTCATCCCAAGTTGTCATGAGCTTCACAGGAAGAGACACAAAAGACCCTGAGGCAATAGATTTCTTTTTCCCCAAACCAGATATTTCTGATAGCATAATCCACTTCCAGTTCCTCACATACCTGGAATGTGTATTTGGCACTGTAGCCAGATCTTCTGATTCTCACAGTTTCTAGCATGCCAGTGTATCTTAACTGTTGAAGCACCAAGCTTTCATCAAAAAGCATCTCTTTCTGAAAAAGATCAGCAGACAACAGCCAGTAAATGCCTGAAGAGTCCTATTTCTGTCCAGTACAGAAAGCCCATTGTGTTTTCACACCCTAGTTACCTTTCACCTTCAAACAGAGTAACAGCAAGCAAGTCAAAAGAGATCTATTACAGGCCTTAGAAGACTTGGGTCCTCAGCAGTCAGCTCAGCTCTTACCTTCTCAGCGTTGGAACGGATGCAGCGGATGAAGAATGGCTCAGCTTTACCCAGTGTCTCCAGTAACTTACTAAGTGAAGTCTGAAATGAAATATTCAGAAACAGTTTTCTTCTCCAGATATCAGCATTTGACAGCAGTACAGCTTCTTCCTCAGAAATAAGGTTGTTTCAGGTCTGACGGCCATACAAAATCCTAGTCACCTACCTGGAACTGTGCACTTATGCTAGGGGGTTTCTTCTTTTTGTGTAAGTGCAAGAGGGATTTTGTAGTTCGATCATGCAGAGTCATGCTTACTATGAGCTTCAGAGACTTGGAATCCAGCAAGTTCTAGAAGAAAGTTTTCATAATCAGCAAAGTGCAAATCTCTTAACTGAAGGGGAAATACTTCTGTCCGCATCAAAATGAGTAAGAAGGAAGCCAGCCACCTAGAGCTCCACATTCAATGTCACGTTGCACTTTTATTTCAGACCAAAGCATTTTCTTTCCACTGCTCTATCCCAAGAGTGTAAGGTGGGATTTACAGTGAATTACATCCTCGCTGTGCTTGCCTTCCATGACTTCATTAGAAATACCGTCATGTATTTATGGCACCTCTAGTCCAGTAAACAGATGCCAATTCACACATTTTTCCTGTTCAGCAATTCTTATGAAGGTGAACATTTACCCATCCTTCAGATTGCCAAAAAGGAAGCTTTGGGGGATAAATGATACAACTTTCCTACACTATGAAACACTATGTTTTAGAGTGAGTTCTGTCAATCAAAATGAATGTTCACAATGACAAAAAAAAAACCAAACTCAACAACCAAACCAAACCAAAACCCAAGAGAATTCTACCTTTATGGAATAACTTTACCTTAGGAATGATCTGCTTTTGTTTGATACCTCTACTTTTCCTGTTAAAATATGAAAGATCATTTAAGAAAAACAATACACATGATTTTTGGTTATTACAGCAAGCCAGACATTGGTGCAATTTATAAGGCGAGAGGAATGATAGAAGCAAATGAGCACAACAGCACCAGGGTGTGTTCATGCACATCTCGTACAAGTGATCAGTGCAAGAAATGCAAACTGCTTCGCAACAAGAATGACTCTTAAATCAACTCTGTAGGTATTGGGAGCTTTCAAAAGTGAAACATTTTTACTTAAAGCTATTAAATCCTCACTGTTGCATACACTATTTTGGGGCACATGATTCTACGTAGCTAACTGTCCAGTCATTTGGCTCTCATCATAACACTAAGGCACTTTCAAATACACAAATACTTGATTCAAAAGTTACTGCTGCTTGCACCAGAACCCCTGTGAAAGTACTTAACTGTTCACAGAAGGACAAAACATGCCCCACTACTTCACTGAGGAATTCTGATAGGTCTGAGATCATCCCCATAGCCTCCTGGGGCACTACACAAACTTCAGGCATAGTTCTCATGCACACACAGACCATAAAGCCCTCAGAAACAAGGCTGTGGTTCACATCTTCTTAATTCTAAGCATGTTACCTCCATGATGTAAGGCATGTTCCAACGCTATGCCACCCAGTTTAATGTTATTTATTACACAATGGACCACAGATTGATTTGCTTACACATACATAGGTGGGCACATGTTGAATTTTAGCCCAAGAACATACACAACATTAGCATCCTGAATTTCAGGATGCCATTAGTTATAATTTCAGGATGCCATTAGTTATAATTTGGGAGAGATTTCATTGTCCAGCGTTTTGCAACAAGAAGCTTGGCATACGTGGGTTTTACAAGAAGTTTACAAGAAAAGTAGACTTAATTTTCAGCTAAGGCAACAAAACAACACATTCTCTATTGCCTTTACATTTTTTAGAAGGCATTCTTTTATTCTTAATCATCTTGTTTAGTGTTTTGCAGTAGACAAGCATCAAACTTGGGACCAGTATATTTTTTATGGACTAAAATAACTGCTTGGTTATTGTTGCACTTTCAAAGCAATACCCAGAGCACCAGAACTCACATGAAGTGGGAGCGGTGTTGAAGTCGGCTGAGTGACCGAAGCAGCTTACAAGGATCATCTCCCTGCCAGGGAAGTCCTTTAATACTTGCGATGATTTGTTCATGCATGTCTCTAAAGTGATTCCCAGCAAAACAAAGATGGCAAACAAGGACACAAGCCATGAGAGAGGGGAGAAAACAAAAAGGAGTTAAAATCCCAAGAGATCCCATCACCAAGTATGCTCCAAACAGTGGCAGGTCAATCCCAGACTACTTTTTCCTAAGCATGAATGATTCTGATGTCAAGTGAGCACTTTATACACTGTCAGCATCCTAAAATTTGATTATCAGGGTCTCATACTAAACTCTTTAATTCTACCTTTTAATGTAAATCCTTGGAATTTACAATTCAGAAAACAGAGGGTACTTAATGAGCAGGGAATCTTTCTGTTAAGCTAAGTAACCTCTTCAGAAAGATACAAGCTTCTTTATAACTAAGCAGTAAATACTTTTAGATACAGATTTGACTACTAAAATGAGGCTGCTTAAGCAGACTCGCATAAGAAAAGCTAAAAACTAGCTATTGTAGGAGTACTTGGTGAAATTTGGGTTTTCATTTTCACTTCAGAACTTATTCACGTGCTTTGCTTTTCAAAGTAAGCCTGGGATGGTCCCTAATGTGTGGCAGAGTCCATCATTTAAGCATGCACCGTGCTTGTGTCGTGTCTTGGCACACAACTTACCTTCTTTACTCTCCAGAGAGGCACAAACCAAAAATAACAGAAGCATAAGAATCACTTCCGATTGTCAGATGCTATCACCATTCTGAGCTGCTTGCTGAGGCAGCAACATTATTACAGAGGGTTGCTTTCTTCCCTTGGTACCTCTGACCATTTTTGAAGGCCAGGACTTTGTTTCAAGCCATCACAAACAGATATGATATGCTATAGCCAATTCTTTCACCCAAATCATATGTTTAGTTGTTAAGTTGCCACAAGTGACAGAGACTGTTCAGGCTGAAGTAATTATGAAGCAGCAGGAAGCCACTGTTTTACGTTACTGCTTCATGGCTTCAGTTTTACACAGAGCGTGCTCAGAAGGTGTCTGCCCAGGAAACGTGCCTCCCTGGCATGTAAGAGCAAGCCTACTTCTTACTTACTTCTTGTTTTCATATATAGAAATGATGTCTTCAAAAGCATTTATATCGAAATCCTCAGAACAATCAAATGAGAAATCAAGCACTGAGCAGCTGTAAAAGGAACATGTATAAAACCTAAACACTCCATAGGAAGGCAAAATACGCCTGTACAGAGCAACATGAGGAGGCAGTTCTGCAGGGCTTGCCCTGCCTCCTAAAGGTTGTGAAAAACATCAATGCTCCTACAAATGCTTCAGGGACACAGACTGGTTGCAGAGGAATACACGATGCTAAAACCAACATATACCATGCACAGACAGGGAACTCAAATACCCAGTGGTAAATGGAACTGGAGCTATGCCACCAACACTTGGAATTGCTGGGTCTTACATTAAATAAGCCAGAGTATTGCTTTTATAGCACTGAAATAAGACAGAAATAAAACTTGCTGTCCTTGTGGAAAGATCAAGTTGACATCTGATACATGAAACTGTGACTTGGCAATTCAGGTTTTTTCCCCTGACAGGGGTTAAGTATTTTTCTCACCGATAGACTTTTTCTACTGGTGTATTTGACCTCTGGAGCTCTCCAAGGGGAATTCCGGGTCCTTGACGTACCACTCCTGTTATGAAATAATCAACAGGTTGGATTTTGACAAAGATATGAGCATAACAGACCAAAAAAACCCCAAATCACCCACTGCAACAAGCACAATAGCTATCCAAGGGCCTGGAATTTGGGTATAGTACTTCGGCTGTTGGGCTAGACTACTTTGTTTCTCAAACTCCCTACTACTAGAAAGCAAATTGCAGCTGCTTCAAAATCAGTCTTTAATCCTGAGTACTCATTTGGAACTTCAGGGAGGACCAAGAAGATCAAAACCAGTGCTAAGACAAGAAGCCATGCTAGAACTACTACTATCTTCCCCAGCTTTTACAAATAGGACTTTAAACTTGGCACAGCCAGCAGGCTGTGCACTTATTGGAGCAGGAAGCCTGAATGATCTCTGATAAGAGTGACCAATCTCTTTAGTGTGTGAATGTTAAGCCATTTTTGAAGTCAGTTTTGCCCTTCGTACCAGTTTTGCCATAAACTAGTTCTGTAAACAAGCACTAGCCAATTGTATGGGATTTGAAAGTGTTTCCACAGCATTTTTCATCCAATACCTGCAGTCTTCTGAGCTCTCTGGCGTCCAGCTTCTGCAAAGACAGCCATTGCTTGAATAGCTGCTCGCAGAACAGCCCAGCGGAACACAGCCACGGGGTCCATTCCGATCAGCTCCCGAACATAAGCGCTGTCACTGCTTCGTAGTAAAGCAACAATATCTGGTCTCATGTAATCCATATTTTTCTCTCTGAAATCCTGCAAAACAGGCACATTGAGCCACAAGCTCTCAGGAAAGCTGTGTTGTGACCCAAAAATATAAATAATCCACTATTCTGAATAGTTCTGACTATAGTGAGCATTATCCCCCAAAGGGTACCAAAAACCCAAACCCAAAGTGCATCTGCGGACACACCTGATACAGTGCAACCCCAGCAAGTTTTCTACACCCTGACAAAAACCATCAGAAAACACGGACTTTTTTGTTTTTTTGGGGCTCATCAGATCTATCACCTACTTTTATCTGGTATTTCACTTTCCCAGCAAAGTGTCGAATAATAAAAGCAGGCTCCATCACTGGGGTTCCAACAAAAAACTTGTTCTCCTCATGCTGCTGTTTGAATTTTGCAAGGAGAGTTTGGTTTGTGGCATGTGGAAAACTAGGAACACAAAACAGAGTAAGTCAGCTATTACATTTACTGAGGTGCAAGGTGACAAACACCTATTGATCCTTGGGGAAAGTATGGTATTGTCCAAGGCCTCTACACTTTAATGGAGACTTACACCCCTGCTTTGAATCTTAGAGGTGGGCCTAATTTCTGGACCAAAGCCAAGCAGCTCCACTCACTGCAGAATATTCTGAGGTTTCAAGTGCGTCAATGCTTCTTCCCACTTCACTAGTCAAGTATGCTTAGCACCACATTAACTATTAACCATATTTGCTACTTAATGTTCCAAAGACTTACAGACATCCATTTTACTTTAACTGGAATGCCATGGTAAAACACAAAGTGAACGTTTCTAAGTTTGCTTGAGCCAAAGTTCAATTTTAGCATCAATTTATATCACCACCATACTGGAGTCATTAAAAACAAACTAGAGCATGGGTAATAGTCACCAAGATGACTCTTTGCTTCCCACAACATTCCTCCCCGTTTTAGAGTGCTGTTTCTGTTCTCTTTCACAGTCCTTCCCTCCTCCCTGCCACACAGTTGTTTTCAGAAGACATTTGTTGCTTACTTGCTTTCTTCATCCAGAAGATAGAAGAGGCCAGTGGGCTTCTTGCTGATTAAGTGAATGCAGGCCACATTATCAGTATAGTCAATATTGTGCCAAGTGATCCCTTCACTCTTATATTCCTCCTGTGTAGCTCAAGAGAAGTCCCTCATCAGTATAGTACCCTGACCTTTCGTGTCTTTTGGTCTAAGCACTTAAAATACATCCTTGGCAAGTTGAATTTGTTAGTTCAGGCAGCAGAAACAAAAACAAGGAAGATTTATAAATAAGAACAGAACAGCAGGAATACTGGGGCAGATCAAAGGTCCATGGAGGCAGGACACTCAACAGCAGATGCTTGGATTCAAACTATTTAACAATCAAAACAGCCAAAAGAATGTTTTGCTGTGCGTTCCCAGCAACCAGCAGTCTACAAACTTGGAGGCAAACATGATGTCTACATCATTAAACCATAGATAGATACATATTGGAGGAATTTAAGTCTATTTTTCTCTTCCATCTTTCTTCCATTATGAGAAACGATGAGTATTTAACAGCAGGTTCCAGAATTGCTAAACTGCACTTTGAGACAAAAGAACAGAAGTTTCAAAAGAGGCAGATCAGCCCCACACAACACCAGCAGCAAAACTTCCCTAAGGAGGCAACGTGTACTGCTTAGGTTCAGAATACTTGGAGCTCTCTTTGAGAAGAGAATATGAAGCTCTTATGCTGAAATGACAATGTATCAAATGCTTGACAGGACAAGCTTCCCATTATGATATGGAACCAAAATATCTGGTGTTCCTAATGCTGCAAATTCCCATTGGAAAAAGAAAATTATAAGGTACTAATGTAAAAAAAAAAGTCAGACAGAAAATTAACTAAGTTTTGTGTTTAACAATAGACAAAGAGCAGCGCTCACTATTCTATACGATGATGATAAGAAATGGACTACACAGTCTGCCTAATGACAGGCTGCTCAGTGTGCATGCTGAATTACAGACCCCAAATGCCATTTTCCACACACAAAAAAGCCTTTCTTTAAAAAGATATAGCCATCACTCCTGGGGGCCCTCAGGCTGCAAGAGATACAGGAAGTGGATCATTCAGGGATTAAGCTTCTTTGGAAAAACCAGGGCATTATAAAAAAGAAAACAGTGTCACTATTTATCCTAGTTAGCCTGGATAGCCACTTCTGTCCCGAGTTACAAAACAGGGACCTCAACGTTATGTTTACATACCAAGTTTGCATGTTTGGTCATTTTCTCCTCTTTAAAATGCTTGTTTAAAGTTATCTACATGCTGCTGACAAAATACCAAGGCGCACAGAATGACTTCCTTCTTTCAGCTGAGTGACCTGAGAAGAACCTTTTAGCACAAACCAGACAGAAAAACCCAAGTCTAGTGCAAAAAAACCCCAAACCTCAGGCAAGAAACAGGACCTGTTAGAGCCTGCAGCACTCAACGGGCTCTGTAAGAAGATGATACCATCTGCAAGCAACTAAATCAACATCCTCCAGTAGTATCAGGATTTCAGAACTACTGCCAATATCAGCATTCAGTTGCATCCCTTAAACGCAGTCAGGTCAAAGAGGCAACAAAGATATTTAATAACCAGCAATAAATATTTAATAATTAATTATTAAATATTTAGAAAGTAACAAAAATAAAAGAAATTGTTTCTGGACCATGAAAACAAAACAAAAACCTGGAACAAACACCTCAGCTACAGACTTTCAAAGTTTGCAGTTCCATCTGATTTCAGTCTGCTATCACCTGAAGGTCTTTTTAAGTTTCTTACAGTTATGCAGAAATATCATACTAGCCCTCTGAAGAAAGACCCTGCTGTCATTAGGACATGTAGAGCACTAAATACAGCAAAGCTACAACCTTCAAACAACAATAAGCAGTAATGAAGCAAATTAAAAAGAAGTCTTTTGGAGCTATATTCAAGCAGTTATAAAAATTATGCCTTGTGGTTTTGCATAACTTGTAAGTTTGCATAATATATGATAAAAAACAGGTTTTGTTTCAGCAACTTTTATTTCTTACCTGTTCCAATTTGAAAATGTGCTGATTGAAATAATACTGAAGCTGTTCATTTGCATAATTTATACAGAACTGTTCAAAACTGTTGGTTTCAAAGTCTTCAAATCCAAAAATATCAAGTACACCAATGGACAAACACTAAAAGAAGATGTGGAAACCTAGTTAAGCAATCTGTCATGCAGTGACTTCACCCGCAGTTAACCGTTATGAAAAGCACTTTCACAGTTACATCTATGGCAGAACCATACGATTAGATACAACCATGGACTTCAGAAGAAACAAAATTTATCCCAGGTATCTGAACACACCATCTATAGCATCGTCTGTTAGCGCCAAGTACACAACTGCCCACAAAGACTGGCTTTTGTGAGAAACTTACTGTAACAGATTCTTCCATGTCCTTCTTATTAAGGAGTGCATGATTAATTCGCAGGACAATCCAATCAAACAAAGCACTGTATAAGGACTTTGCCATTGAATCACGAGCTGTTATTGCCTGCAAGTGAAACAGTGTTCTTGGGTTAAAAAAGCATTTCTAGTTGAGACCAGTATCAACTCAAAGGTTGCAGTCCTAGCAGAGACAAAGAAAACCAACATTTACCTTTAAAGCTAACTTCTGACTTTCCAAATGGCCCTCACTAAATGTGAGGGTGTACCACCTTAGTTTTTTTAATCCAAACATCGTAACTGCAGTTAGTTAAGACCATTCTACTACTGTTCTTTTACTCACCTCATTGAGACTATATGGCAAAATAAGCTTATCGTTAGCAGTCACAGTTTTTCTTTTTGTTAGCACCTCTACTAGAATTTCCCGTTTAACCTTTAAAAATAAGCAAGAACAAGAGTTATTGTCACCCACAAACTCCCAGTGAGCACTGTGATAGCAACAGTGGACACAGTTTCCTCAGAGAAGCCCAAGCCTTTTGACAACAGCTACATTTATCATTCATCAATAGCTTTACAAGTCCTTCAACATCTTTAGTTATTCTCAGCTTAGATTCATTCAGAAGTTTCCCTATGGTGGCAAAGAACCCATCTCCACTAAATTCATTCCTGCTCAGCTCTATGATAAGCAAGTAAACAAACTCTGTTTCCATGCTATGGGCTATATCCCATCCCTAGTCCCAACAATTTCACCAATTTCATCCATTTCCCCTCCCCATAAGCTTTCTGGAAGTACCATAAACCAGACCTAGATACAGCAAACTAGCCACCAAGATATCCAAGTAAAATGCTGAGGCAGAGCATGATACAAAGGTGGATCAAACATGAGAGCTAGAGAGAAATACTCTACTTTCAAAAGCTGGGAAAGAATGTCCAACACTTCTGGAGGTCCCACTTCCAACCCTTCATCACGACCTGTAGCTTTCTTCTTGTATGTAACGTTGCCCAAATAAAGAATAGCTGAAAGTATTGCAAAAATCCTAAGGAAGAAAAATAGAATTTTATAAGAGTTTTTAATTACAAGTTCATTACAACAGGTTTGCTTTCAAGAATTTGTCTGCAAGTCCTCAATTACTCATAGAATCATGGAATAGTTTGGGTTGGAAAGAACCTTAAGATCATCTAGTTCCAACTCAGCTCACCCGGCTTCCCAATGGACTAAATGTGACCCCAACATTAACTAGCCAGCAGTAACAAAAGCTTAAACGATTCTACATACTGTTTTTTTGTTGCTGAAAGGAAGCCAACCATCTCCATGGCTTGTTTTAATCTTTCGAAGTCATGTCGGAGATCTTCCCCGTCTTCAATTTTCAAGTTATGCTGGGAAGAGAGATCCATACTTAAAGGCAAAGAATGAAGCCCAAACATCACAAAGAAAACAAGCATAATATGTTCTGCTGTCTTTCACCTTTAACACAACAGACAGACAACACTTATCAATGCATGGATAAATTCCTGCCACAGATTACCTGATTGAGGTAGAAATAATCTTCAGGTTGCTTGAGGTGAAATTCTTTACGCTCTTCCTCATTGACTCCAAGTAGCAAATAATAAAAGACATGGTAGTTCCTACAAAGGCAGTAAATCTCTCTTTCATGAACACAGAATAATTTGTCTTTAATTTATGTACTTTAGATGATCTTAAGCTCTTGCATGGATTGTAATTGTGTTAGCAAATTGTCTTGATCTCTTACCTTTCATCTTTTTCTTGAGAAACCAGGCGAGATTTTTCAAGCAGGTATTTTTCAACAACAGCCCTAAAGAGCCACAAAACATGAAAAAGCAGCATGAGGGTGAAAGAAAAGACCTCCCAAAACATCACACAGCAACTGCCAAGAGAGTTCAAATAATGCAGTCTGCGCTAAAGCATACAAGAGAATAGCTTAGTGACTATCTTCAATCTAAACCAAGAATTTCAATATGCAGAATACTGTAACAAGAACAAAGAGAAACACCTATTTTGGGTGCTTGGGTTCAGTAGTCATAACTGGGGAAAGGCAGACAAAGCTAGGAATGCTCTGATGAAAAACTGGTTGCAGAAACATGTAGAGTGCTAACAATATGTTATCTACTCCGAGATTAACAGTTATCTGACAAGGAATGCAAAGGCTACGAGACCCCAGAAATACACTCGATAACTGATTCTCCATCTAACAAATATTAGATGGTTTATGACAGTATATACGTCAGCCTAAAATGGAAGCCAGCCAGAAACCCTACAGGTTGACAAAGTAACCTCCTAAATGATAACCTAAACTCCTTGACATGGGATACAATAAATGAGGTCAAAGTTGAAGCAGGTTTTTCTCAGGCTGAAGACAAAACAAACATATCCAAATTGTGCCTAGTTCAAAGCAACTGTGGTACAGGGTTGCCAGTCACTTCTGGTACTGCCATTTGGTAAACTGCAAACACCAAGATGACCCAAAAGAAAGACACACCAGAGCACACAAATCAGTGATAGCTAGTGGCACTCCAGAGCACAGCAAGCTTCCACTTCAGGCAGAATTCCATAGCAATAGCAGGTATTACAGCCTTGCATCTGGACTAGCCCAGGTACATCTTGACAGTGGGGTAAAAAACATTAATAGAATTTTAAGACTCAAATGTGACTATCATATATTTAAAAAATGTAAGTATAGAATATTTCATGTTTGACCTTCAGCGAGAAGCACACATTTCAACTAAGTCAAATAAAACCATAATTATGTAATCTCTTTTATAACTGGTGTTCAGATTGTTCTTTACAATGGCTTCCTCAAATCTATTTCACTTCTCCCAGTTCCTCTTAAAAATGCAGATCTTCTGGTTTTAATTGCAAAATGGAAATGACAATGGATGTTGTGAAAAAAGCCTTCATTTAGCATGAAGGCAAAGATGCAGCAGCAGTTGACTTCTTAACCTGATACGGTCATACAGCAAGGTAAGAACATTAGCCATCACCTGACTATTCCACAACACTATTCTGAGAGCCTGGAAAACTCCTCAGCAGCAAGCTATTCTCACAAGAGAACCACCTCAGCAAGGCAGCATTCTATATACAACAGTCTTCACCAGTTCCTAAATGCACAGAGATCAACCCCAGCACCACTTCAGACTGTACTTACCCTCGAACAATACCATTCTCTAAATAGTTGACTTGAATAAACTTCCCAAAACGACTGGAGTTATTGTTGTGTGCTGTTTTTGCATTTCCAAATGCCTGTAATAAAGCAAGAAGACTTAATTTTCAGTTAAGCAAAATATGCTAACACACAGCTTTTCTGTTCATTGTTCAGCCTCCTGTTAGCTTGCAGAATAAACATGAAATACTAAGGCCATGGTAGCATACAAACACCAAAAAGGCAGTTTAAGAAGCCTCCACTATTCCTTAGAGCTCTATATACATTTATTATTTGCCCCATGCAACAATATTTGGTGGACTGAGGGAGGGGAATAACACATTTAGCTATTTCTCAGAGTACAGGAAAGGTAATCCCAGCTGGAGTGTGTAAATCACCCTCAATAATAACAATTATGACCTTAGAGAGGCTATTCAGTGGGAAGATGACAGCACAATTACCATGACATTGCCTCTCCCAGTCTACAAACTACATCCTATTCCCTAATGCATTGCTCCCACTCAAAAACTTCACAATGAACACAGTTTTTCTTTAAGTGAGGAGGGCACACGATCTCATTTCTAAAGTTTTCAAAGTTGTGTATTCCAAGAAACAGGAAGAAGACAAACAGAAAGCCTTTGGTTTACAGAACCACATCATGCACTGGCCAGTTAACTCCGCTATGCACTACTGAAAAATGGAGTTTCACTATGAGGCATTAGGACAGGGGAAAAAACAGGGATGGCGCAGATCCTAACTGTGCATCTTTAATACTTCTGCCTGCATCATGATAGTTGCTAGTATACACAAAACAATATCCTTCGCATGAGCCGCATTTAAGAACTGTAAGGATAACTTATTAAATGCAACAGTCCAATAGAATTAGTTACTAGGAATGTCCTTAACTTTATCAACTCTTCACTATGCATTCTTAGCTTCAGAGAAACTTGTGATCCTTCTAACATGCAGGAGGCAATCCAGCATATTGAGAAGAAAGCCTGTGTAAAATACAGTTGTCTGGAAAACTACACTGCTCGGTGCAGACTATCACCAGCAATTCCTGCCGCAGATATTTCCTCTTCAAGCTCCAAGTAATGAAGGCCTCCATTAGGAAATCCGCTGCCCCTAATATAGAACATTCATGGAATGATTTCAGAAAAATGCCACCCTCTTCCTCCACACACACATCCGGAGAATGACGGACATGAATACTGTACACAACACTGAACTGAACTCTTGCACACAGAACTGCCCCACTATGGTGTATATGCTGGGGAGTACTGTTTTCATGACAGTCAGAAGTCTGTTTATTGAAACTCTTCCCTTTCTGGGGGGGCATTTTGGTTTGTGGGTCTTTTCCCAGACTACCTTAAGGGCTGCATGATCCTGGATCACTATTACTAAAACAGGTTCTCAGAGCTCTATTACAAGTAGATTTCTACTGGGGGCTGCCCAGTGTTCAGGCAACCTGAGAAACTTCTTATGAACTGGGAGAACGGCCAGAGTTCTTCAGACAACTGCTATTTCTGACTTAGAGGAAAGAGCTAAAGGAGCTCTTCCTGTGCAGGGTGAAAACCCACAGGGTGCTTTTCCGCTGTAACTTCAGGAAAGTCAGTGGGTTTCTAAAGACACAATTTGTGTCCAGCACTGCTTATAGATGACTGAGGGCCAGTTCAACCTTCTACTTTCTAGAGACCAGGCTACATGTGACATGATGCAAACAGCATCTATCCCCAATCACACTTTCAAAGCATCGACCAGAATCATCAATATCTTTTTACAGCTACTATCCAGCAAGTTATAAGCCAGATGTGGTTTTTAGAGCCCATTTTGCATACACATGCATATTAATGTATGCATAAAATCCAAGTCAATTCCTTACAGTTACCAACCATCCCCAAACCAAAAGTGGAAGTCCTGTAACATCAGCACAGCAAATATTCTGCTTTGCAAATCAAAACCCAGTTCCTCCCAGCTGTGGCTCTCTGAAGAACACCAACTTCCCAGGTAATGTGGCAAGAAACCTGTTGTAGTGAACCTTGCCAGGCTGCAGAACAGTGCATGTGCAAAGTGATTCCAGAAAAAGCTTCTTGTTAGAAAGTTGTTTGAACTGAAGGCACCAGTTAACTCTCAGTTTGCTAGACATAGCAACCAGTATAACTAAATTTGCTACATTAGGTTTTAATAATAAACATTTGGCATTATAGAGTTAAGAAATCCCAAGCCCAGGCTTCCTGAAAAACTTTTCTTAGTGATTACTCATGTAAGTAATGAATACAGTTTAAAACTAAAGGCTCTTATGATCTCATGTGTCTGGTATTTAGTCAAAGCATACAGCAAATTCTTATAAGCTGATCTAATATTAACAGTTTTAGGAAAGTTTTCATGTACTGAATGGTTTTCTCATAAGAGCCTTTGACATCTACAACTCTTCAAAGAGCATTCCAAGTTGCTTAACATTTTGGGTGGGGAATTTTTTGGGGGGTAACATTTAACTTTAAACTCTAATCACTGCTACCACACTCTTCAATATACTTTGAAAAGTTAACTTTATAAGAAGTGACATTCCTGCCTAAAATCAGAGAAGTGCCAAAATTTAATGTGTTAAATGGTTTGGTTTGATAGTGGTTAAATATCTTCTCCCTACTGCAGCTTTATCCTACGAGAATAAAAGGATTACAGGTAAGAATGAAGCTCCCATATTACCTAGCTATTGGTCTGCATAGAAAGCATCTTTCACAGCTAATTCTAGCCAGGTACTCTATATACACAGCTCAGATTCAAATGGAGTATCTCCCTGGTTTGCCTTTACAGAGCCACATATGCCTTTACAGAATAAATTCAGAAGATGTGAGGGATAAGAGAATTTCAGCTAAAGAGAAATAATAATTTCTATAACCAAACCCATTTACTATTTTCCCATGTGAGTCCATGAGGAGACAGGTAAGAATGAGAAGCTACATTTAAATCTCTCCATTGCAGAACACTAGGCTTACATAAAAGAGAGTGAGTCAAAAATAGCAGCCCAAGGCCAGCAGCAATAAGATTTGGGAGAGCCTATTCCGGGAGTCAGGAAGTCATCCAACCCACCCCTCTTACCTTGGAATGCAAGAGGCATAAACTGAAGTCTGCTACTTGCAACTCCTACAACAGTGACAGCTTTGAAAGTATTCAAGAAAATGCCAAATTCTCCTTTTATTTGCTGTAAAATGAAAACCCTAAACCACACACATGCTCCTATCATGGAGCTCAGGAACACAACTAAAAATCTCACTCCATTCATTCACAAGAACTGCCAAAATGTGAAAGCCATCAGAGTTCCTATGCAAACCATCCCAATCCATGGCAGAAAAGCCACTGCACAGCCCTTCTTTCAACGTGCCAAATGACCTCCAAGACTCAAATTGCACACCATAGAAGAGGAAATGACTGCTTCAGAGTTGAACTCAGTTTAGTAGCAGTCTTAAACATGCTGCAAAATATCTGCTCATCCACACAGAAGTTGCAGTGTTCAGGGTAACTTTGCAACCCTGCATGTTGTAAGATGCCCTGGGGAAGTCTGAGCAATCCACATGATACAACTGCATGAAGGACAAGGTGATCCCGTGCCCCGCCCCCCCCCCCCCCCCCCCCCCGAGATGTGTGCAGCAGGGAGAAGTGTGCAACAAATCTCTACCAAAAAAGCTTAGTAACATCCAACCAACTGGAAAAAGGAAGTTCCATTCCTCCTCTATGATTCTTAAAACAAACACAGGCAGATAATAGCCTCAAAACAACTACTTTCCCTTAAATAGAACAGCCTACACCCACTAAATATATATGCAGACTTCTATGGTAAATCCAAATGAAAACCAGAGTTGAAGCATCATTCAGCTTAAGTCTATCTTATACCAAAACCACAAGCACAACAGGACTGTAATAAAGAAAACAGAGCTGACAGCAGACTGTTTTACTCTGTTTTCCATAGAAAGGTAAAGCAGAAAGGTTTACTTTCTACAATTTAACAAGCTTTTACGTTGAATGCTAGAAAATCTCGTCCCCACCTGATTATGCTTACAACATCCAGATTTACAGCTGCCTTCTTTAGAAGAACACTTAATGAATGCTTCCTGTTGGACTTTCCATTTTATTTGGGTCTTAATTCTTTCCAAAGAATGGTTCAGTGCCATTAGGAAATCTTTAAGAACATACCCAAAGAGAAAAAAGGAATGCCTATTAAAATACTACATGTAAAAGTTAAGACAATGCCAGTATTTCCACTTGTCCCTCCTCTCCTCAGCTTCCACTGCAGATGGAAATGAACTTTCAGCATGCTAAGAAAGTAACGTCTGTCATAAACCCAGGATACTAAGGGTTACAGTTAACGACAAGCAGAAGCCAATAGGAGCTTTGCTGCCAGAAGAGGAACCTCCAATTCCCTCTTATATGTCGCTTGCCACATGCTCCCACCCCCTTGCTCCATTTGCAGCCATTTACTAAAGTAATTGGCTTGACGAATCTAATCAGTTAATTTAAATCTCCAAAGTAAGTTCAGTCTTAGACTGCACACTGCATTTTACACTTGAAACATGCATTTTAAGCCATTTTCCTTGATGAAAGGAAAATACAAGTTTCTTGGAAGCTTCTGAAGTGTGTATGGTAAGGTTCAGTTCTCTCATTTGAGACTTCAAAAAACAAAGGTTTGATTCATTATTCCAAATTTTACCCAAATATTAGCTCCCAAATGTAAATTCCTTCTTAGGACTTCGAGTAAACTGAACTGAACGGTTAACACCAGAAGGCAAAACTCCAAGTCAGGGAACTAGACTTTAAGCACTATATTTAGAAGAGGATGAAAAAGTCAGGAATATCTGAAAACAGAGCCTATCTTTATCTTCCTGCCAGTTTTAAAGCAACTGCTCATCATTTGAGATGATTTATGACAACCTGGAGAAACAATTACAACCAAAGTCTGACAGCAATTCCTATAGAGCCAAGGCAACTGTATGTCACATGAGCAGTTGAAAACCAGAATAGACCACATCTGTAGGCTGTGCTGAAGCATCACTGTCCATGGAACAACCAGCTAAACTATTAACAATGGCTTCTCTTCAAGTTACTTACAGATTTGAATACAGATTAGTTGGCCAACTCAGAAACAGGATTCCTTAAGAAATACATTCCTAAGTTCACTATGTGCAGATAAAAGTCTAAATCCACCTCCATAATACACTAATAGTGCTCACCTTTCTGTGCTGGAAGTGTTAGCTTTAGCTACTTGATCTTTTACGAAAGGTCAGCCTATAAGTAGATATACTTTACTTAGGTCTAAGGAAAATAAGAGGTCACTAAAAAGGGGAAGTTTTGAGACAAATTGCAACTGGCTTTTTATGATGTAGAAGTCAGAGGAACAGGCTTCAGTCAAGAGTAAATTTTCATCTCTCATAAAGCCTCAAAACTTCAGAATGAAACATACCATTCCAATCCCCAGCACTTCAAGCACTACAAAACCCTCCATGCAAAAATACCCCTGAAACATCCATTTAAGAAGAATTCCCTTGCACCACTTTAGTTCCCTTAAGTAAAAATCCAAATGAGTCACCACAGTTGGATTTAGAAGTGACAAAAGTCTAACAGAAGAGTTTGTCATCAGTTTGACTTCCACAAAGCAGAGTATGCTTCCCGCGCATCCCTCCCCGAGATCAAGATGTGACTTGGGTTTGGCTTTGTAAATTCTACTTAGTGACTGTATTTGCACAGGAGCATCAACGATCGGAACACATGGAAGTTTCCCTGTCAGCTGAATCACTCTGCTGTATCCAAGTAGGATCGCTTGATTTCACTTCTCTATGCTCCATCACTTTTTGATGTGCACTAGTTACGTGAACAGGGAAGTCTCTTCCCACTACCAGACTTCAGAAGAGAGCCTCACATTTTCAACAACATGTACTCTAACAGCCCATGTTAGAATCCATTTGGCAAGTTTGAGAGCTGAGCTTTCAATCATCGTATTTCCAGCTAGCAAGACTATTTTCTTATGAAATGCATTACTGAATGCTGAGGGGAAGTCTGAAGAAGTTGTAGTACTTATGACAACCAATCCTAGTGCAGAAAATCACCAGTATCTCTTCATGAACATTCCTAAACATACACAACATAGAATCATAGAATGGTTTGGGTTGGAAAGGACCTTAAAATCATCCAGTTCCAACCCCCCTGCCAAGGGCAGGGATACCTCACACTAGCCCGTGACACCCAAGGCTCTGTCCAACCTGGCCTTGAACACTGCCAGGGACAGAGCATTTACCGCTTCTTTTGGCAACCTGTTCCAGCACCTCAGCACCCTCAGAGGGAAGAACATCTTCCTTATATCTAACCCGAACCTTCCCTGTTTCAGTTTAAACCCATTACCCCTTGTTCTGTCGCTACAGTCCCCGATGAAGAGTCCCTCTCTGGCACCCACAGCTTTCTCAGTCTGTCTTCATACACCCAGCCATGACTCCAGCAAGTTACTAATTTTGATTTTCAGTCTGGGGATATGTGCATTTCTCATTCAATGGACAAACTGCAACACAAGATTTTCTGTCTCTTCCTGGTTTGACACAGCTGTATCACATCCGGAGACTAGGATGTGAAACAGTTAATTTTATCAAAGGCAGAAAGATCAGCTGATCAGTGCTTTCCACAGTGACCCCTTCCTGTTTTCTGTGTAGAGCTGCAAACTTGAACTCCAGCAACCAAACCTCAAACAATTTTACTTCTTCTTTCAAGCAGCAGAAAGCAAGGCAAAAAAAGAACTTGTGTGTATTCCTCATTCTTTACAGATAAACTTTCAACTCATTTATAAGCATTTTAAAGTTTAACTTCTATTACTTTTTCACATTTTATCTAAATGCTTAGAAAAAACAGTGGTTTTTTTTAATGAAAGTGTTGTAATTTATACACTTAAATAATCTAACATGTGACAACAGCTGCATTCAAACTCCTTGCTGTGGAAGGTTTTATTACAGGTGACCATTACATCCATCCAAGCATTCAGAGTTTTTCCTTTCAGATGAGAGCACAAAAGGGAAAGTCTGAAGTCTAAAAGATCAGTCTATGTTCGTAACCTAATGCAAGACCAGCTGTACCCCCTCCTTCTCACATGTTTAGTTTTGCTTTCTGTTAGAAATGCTGTAGTAATTACAAGCCAAAACCAACTCACATTTTCTTCCCAACTAAGAATGTTGTTCTCTTGAAAACAAACAGTTGTAGGAAGGAAATAACTCCCTCAAAAAGTGAGTCCATAAAAATGCTGCAGGACATACTTGCACATAAAGGCACGACTACACTGAGCAGTTCATGTTTAAGTGGAAACGTCCTTTTTATGAAAACATTTACTTATGATTTGATTCAAATGCCATCAAAACTTTAAGAGGGAAAACACAGGTAACCTCTGTCCCAGAATATCAGTTCTTAGTAGTGGAAAGTTAAGTCAAATATAAGTTAAAAGCAACAGGAAGTCAACTGAACGGAAGGATGAATTAAGGAAAATCAATTAGAAGCAGTCAAGCAACACAGCCAAACACCAGTGCAGCCCAGTGATATTTAAAGTCTAAACCTTGGGTGACCAACAAACATTCAACAGCAGCTATTTGAAGTTTTCAAGAAACATCTTTGCAGAAGGCAGTTTTAGCAGAAGAAGTTTACCTCCAGAACTGGCCCAGCTCCTAGAATAGTTCTCTCCACACCACTTGCGTACCCTTTCTGGCTCAGTGCAGTGAGGCAGTGAATTAAGAAGTTTGTGCTTTGAGTTTTCCCAGACCCACTTTCACCCGATATAACTATACACTGATTAACATGCTTTTTAAGCATTGTGTGATAAGCCACATCAGCAATGGCAAAAATATGAGGCTCCAACTTCCCAAGTTGATGATTCTCATACATCTTGACATATTTAGGATTATAAATGGGCAGGAACTTGAAGGGGTTAATTGCAATCAGGATACTTCCTGCGTAAGTGTAAATTTTGTGTTTTAGAAAGCGGCACTTGAGATCCTCTAGGAGCGTTGTCTCTGTCAGGTTGGGAAGATTGCACAAGTCATCAAAGTCCTCCTGATGCCATGGAAGAAACCCCCTTTCAACCAAACGCCGAGCATCTGCCTCCTTGGAAAGCAACTGCATCTGGACATATTTGATGCTCCCGTCAGTGTTCCTCTCTTGCAAAAGAAAGTAGTACCCATCCTTTTGTGGATGTTCATCCTGAGCGCGACGAGGCCAAAGTAAAACCCTATGAACTGGAGAATCATTGATATCAAGTACCCATTCTTCACCACCTGATTCTTTCACCTCCACAAGCACATAATGTTTCGAGACATCCAAGTTTAAGATATTAATCACATCCTTGATGACATCTGAAGATGTGCTGTCCTTGGTTGCTGTCACTTTGCAGCAGGGAGCACTTTCTGTTGAGAGTTGGGGGTAAATATGAAGATTGTAGGCTGTCTTTGCCTGGCAAACTGCACTGTCAGCATCTTTTAAACTCATTCTGTCCCCAGATGGGCTTCAGTCTTCTGCCCCTGCTTAATATGCAGTGCCCATTGTCTAAAAAAGAAGAAATAAGAGGGAAGGAGAAAAAAGAACAAAGTCAGGTGTTTAAAACAAAATGTGTACAAGAGATATTATTTTCTGGAGGATGAGAATGAAATTACGTAACAGTCAAGTTATTAAAGAATCAACTCACTATTAACACACTTCAGTGCTATACTTAGCCTACCCCATAGAACTGATAACTGCACAGGATCTACGATATATTCACTCTTCCTTCTATTCCCAGGCCATCCCTTCCTCCCAGCTAAAGTAACACAAGCATTCTTATAGCCACAAAGCAAGCTGAACTGGGTAAGCGTCCAAATTCAAACTTCCTTGTTTCCCCAGGTTAGTTTTAACCCAGGTAATTTCCCTGGCCTGGTTCACTGTATGGCTACACCAACATTTATTTATCCTCCCACATAAACACTCCCTTAAAGCTGCACAGGCAGCCTGAGGTAGCAACAGGGCTTGATCACTTCTAAAATCAGCAGAGACAGTTCAGAGCAGCCACGATCTACGGCAGAAGGAATAGTGCACAGGTGCAAGGAGGAAGATGGTTCTGACACCAAGATCCACACTGTTTTTCATCTCCCCCAACTGACTTAATTTCACAAGAGGTACAGACTGGGGACAGGATTTACTCACTCAGTTCTAAGGAAACTGCCTACAGCTGACCAGTGCAAACGCTGCCATCAACATCTAATCCTGCACACCATAGTGATTTCCTAAACATGCATCATTTACTCAGACAAAAGATTGCTAACTTCACTCGAATGAACCACATCCTTGCTGTAGAAAGGTCTGAACACACTTTTTATCTTCCATTTTAGGCAAAAAAGTAAAACTGGTACTATTGCGACTATTTTTCAGTTCAACTAACAAGATTCCAAATAACATACATCACTTACAACTCTTTCCTCACTGGGTTTCAGTGACCTCATGCATGAATTTCCAAAGATCATTCATTCTGATTTCTTTTTCCTCCTTTCATCCTTGATGCAGGCCAGAAATCCAGCATTAACCTCACAGAAGTCAACTTCCTCCCCTTCCTGCCAAATTAAAAGCCTCTTGACTTCCTAACTCCATGCCTTTGCAGGTGATTTTTCTCTCAACTGAATTTGGTACATCCAGATCACCGGGACTAAGCTTGCTTACATTGCTTAAATTCAGCAGTTTACCAGCTTATCAACAGGGAGTAAGAGGAGAAGGATAATGAAGTATCCCCTTTGTTTTAACAGTCTGTAAAACTTTATACCCAGAATATCAGTTCAATTTTTGTTCAAGAACAAAGTGTTCTAATTACACACTTACGTGCCACCTAGATATTACAAAAGGGGCAGAGAAATGCCAGTGAAGTCGCTTTTTGCCACTAAACAACTGCACAGGAACTTGCATAAGGCCACAAAGAGCAATCATTTCAAATTAAGATCAGTACAGTTGGAAGCATTTAGCAGCCACTTCCACTGCAAGTAATGAATCACGGCACAGAAACATATGACATAGTTCTGCCTCATGAAAAGCCTCAGATTAGAGAATTGTTCTTTAAGGGAACTCTGAATAGTGAGTTTACAGAAGACATTGCTATGCAAGCTGGATCATTTTCAGCGGCTACTCATCAAAAGGAAGGCTGAGCAAGCCACAGACAGCAAGACAAACCACAGCACATCTCTGGGCAAGCTGTATGATCCCTCAGAGAATGAGTTTTTTCCCCCATTACATTTCATTTGTCATTCATTAAGGAGAGCTTGCTCCAAGAACTTGGTCATACAGAAGGATGGAGCAGTGAGCTGAAAGCCGCTTCTCCATTTCCCGTACTTATCACTGACCAGTAGGTAAGTTTGAAGGACCTTTGCAATTGCAACCATGCAACTGTAAAGCATTCTTAATCTATAAAAGCTCAAACAACATACAGGAGAACCTACAGGAGACTGCTGCTCATGGGGAAGATGAATCTGGAGCACAGACAAAAAGAACAGTGACCATTTTCCTCTCAAGTTAGACAGCCAGTTTAAGGGAGACAGTCTTGTGCAGACTTCCTTTTTTCCTCCCAGCAATTAGTTTCAGCCACACAGTCTGGTACAATAGAGGAAGTCCCCTCAGTGAGCATTTTTGCCAGAACAGCACCCTAAGAAACCCAGCACCAACTTTCTGCCCACACATAAGAGCTGGTGCTGACCTCTGACTTTACTAACATGTATTTCCTAACCTCATCTCATGTCATCTACCACAATATATCTGGTACATTGCTCAAGACTCTCACATCATGCTTTCCAAAGAGGAAACCAGAACACAGATGGCCTCTTCTCTACCAGTGAAAAACCCAGGCCAATTACAGCAAGCAGCAACATGGTGATAGCTGGTAGGGTCTGCTCAGGTGCGCATGACTGAAGAACTAGAAAGAACAAGACCACTCGTCCTGAAGACGGATTTCTGACAAAGCAACATGCAGACATCACCTTTATGTATTTATGCCACATACAGATTTCTAAATTATGCAGTCACCATGCAACTTGGTGGAAGTTCAAGCAGGCATCCATCACTTTATTGCCTATAGTAGAAAGAACTTGCTGACAGTCACAGCAGCAGCAGCAGCCAGCCAGTCAGCATAACACTGCTCCATCTTAACCAGGTATGAAATCCAGACGTTACTTGCTTGCTTTCAACACCACTGAGCTTTAAGACTGCTTTCACTCAACAACTTAAATAGATATGCTACTTCAAATCATTTAATACTGATTATGAGTCCCAGTATTCAACTGAAGACAGGGTACCATCAAGCAATAGGAGGATTAGATTCTAGCAAAGGTGAATTCTTGGTATCAAAGTAAACATCAGAGAAAAATCAGAGCAAGTAATCATTTCAATATGGTTATTCTAATATAACACCACAAGCATGACAGTGAATGTATTCCCCAGATAAATACTGAATATTTTGTTAGGCAGCCCTGTTACCCTCATACTTAGAAGGTATGTGACCAATACTGTATCTAGAAGATATCTGAAATTCAGTTAAGAACCTGAGATAAGAGCAGCAACAACAGCAACTAATCTGTTGGAAAATACCTTACTGCAAAATACTCTAGAAGCTTTGTCTATGAGAAACACCCAGAGGAGACTGTTATCAGTTTAAGTCCTTGCATAGGGAACTAGAGTTCGGTAACAATCATCAGTCTGGAGGACAAAGCTACAACACAAGCCAGTGGCTGGAATTCAGAACTAGACAAACTCAGGGTAACACAAAACACCAGAAGGCTCCACTGCACTGGAGAACCTGAACTGACGCTAACACTGAGGCCTGACTGCTAAAGATCAGCCAGTCCTGAGTTACAGACATGCCTGTGAATCAGAGAAGTGAATAAGATACCACCCTCTTACTAATGTCAAGAGTAGTCTGAACCGACGATTACAATGATTCCTTCTCATTTTCTGATCTCTAATTATTTAGAAAACTTTTAAGCAATTGAAATATTTATTCAGTGTAATTTGGCACATGGAGGAAGCACAAGCCTGACTTCAGGTGCACAGAACACTGGGAGAAAAAGGAGAAATACAAGAGTAGAAGGTAATAATGAAACCATACTGGTCAGCATGCAAAACAGCAAACTTGGGAAAACAGCAGCTTCACCACCACTGTAGACAGAAATTCTGCAAAGTTACTTCCATTTCTTTCTTATAAGAAGCTCCTTTTCAATGCATGGGAAAACACACAGCTGTGCATTAGAGTTATTAAATACTCTAATTAAGTGGGAGGCAGAAGCTGTCACTAGGTGCACATCAACTAATTTTAGACTTCACATTCAGACTCCTTCCTGGTTTCCTTAAAATGTTTTACTTTTCAGAAGCCTTTTGCAGCACAAGAAATATATCTTCACAGTACTTAGAATTTACTAAGGACAGCCATCAGCATCTACAAAACACAGCAAAGCATTTTTCACAGTAGCCCTGTTTTACAGATGCAAAGAGAGTTAGGCAAGCTGGGCAAGCAGAGTCAAAAAAGTTTGACATGCAATGCTTTTTACCCTTTTATTCACGAAGTTGCACTGTATTAATTCTGTGGGCATGAGTGGCAACAGCTGCAGGGGATTAGTGTGTTAAAGGATATAGTGATATATGATTTGCACCCCTGAGACAGTGGTTTCTTTGTGCCAGTGTAACAGACACAATTTAAGGTACTTGTATTTCAAGTGAGATTGAAGACAAGTAAATCTGAAATAACACTAGGCCAACTTAAACACGAGGTATCAGAGGCCACCTTTACTTGACTGTCCTAGAAGGGTAATTCCAACAGGACTAGAAAAATGGAAGAATTCTAACCCATCTAAAACCTCTTTTCAGGGTTTTGTTACCTTCCCCTACCCCATCCTTCTTAAGATCTACAGCATATTTGTTAATAGCACCAACATAATAAGCTTATAAAGGCAACAGTCTAATGACATATTTCTTTTTATATTACATATCAATTAATACTTTCATTTGCTTAAGAAAATAAGTAAGTTTTTGCAAGTCTCTATCAAGCCAGTTAAGTTTTAATATGCATTAAAGCCAACATCATGCACTTAATAATGTGGTAAAAGTCCAGAAGAGAATTTCACCCCAATCAGCACAGGGTATCTGTTTAGTTTAAATAAGGCTATAATTTGAAGCCACATATTTAGTCAATGAATCATAGCAAAGCTAAAAAGGGAAAGCTACCATTACAGCAAAATTGGTGAGGATGAGCTTTAGAATATTCTAGTTCTTCATATTTTCATGTACATTTCCAGCGCTGCATTCCTCAAACGGAATGATCCAAGCTTCTCCTATTGTTAAAGTCATTTTCAACACAAAAGTAGAAACACACCACAAAGTGCCTGATCTAATCCTCCAGTACCTCTCATCTTCTGGAATACCAGAATTGCTTATGACCATTCCTAAAAGAGACCTTGTGTCTGTCAAATTGAAAAAGCAATTTCAAAAACTTTTAGCTGTTAATATCTTTGATTTCCAAAGCAAGGAATTTCCAGCAAAACAGGCTACAGAGACACTCTAAAGTTTTCACAATTAACTGCATTACAGGGAAGGCAAAGGCCTCAACTCTTATCTCCTGTCACAAGGACATACAGTTGCTGTTGAGCATAATTAATGTTATTTCTTTCTTCTCCAGTATTCCAGACATTCGTGGACACTACCTCAAAATTGCTCAACATTATGTTAACACTTCGGTATTTTTCTTGGTCATAAAAAATTCCGTTGGACTGAACTTCAGATCCTTGGTTTAACTAAAAGGAGTGGTTCTGAATGGAGCATGCAAATCTACAACACATTTGTTACTACTGTTTGTAATCAACCCTAGCAGAGAAGTTACTGCCACACACTTCCTAACAAAGGAGGAGCTGGACTGCAATGTAAGTAATGCAACATAACACAGGAAAAAGTCAAAGAAATTACCTTCATTACAAGCAGTTCCTCTTTACCTTCTCTCCGTTCCCTCTGGCCCTTGAGACCCCAGTCCCAATCTACACCCTTGAACCACCCAAGATACAGACCTCTACTTCCTCTTGATGACTCAGATGCACAATTTAACCTCAAGACAAGGACACCTTATCACGCTTCTGGCGACATTAAAGATCTATAACATGTTATTACCTTACAAAAGGTATGATATCAGAGTTACAGATGTACGCTTGAGCATGATTCAGAGGAAATGAAAATGTGGCTCTGTCGAGAAAACAAGGAATGAAGGGAAAACAACTGAGAGTGTTAGAGGCTAAGAACATAAGCCAGAAGAACCTTGGAGACTATACTACCATTTTTTGTAGTAAAAATTTCACTGGTCTAAGGCTGCATTTACACTGATAAGAAATTTTCTTCAGAAACTTCAGGTTTAAACACTTTTATTGTTAAGCCTTGCTGGTGTTTAAAGGAGTAACATATTTTTCTAGGATCTGCATTGAGTTTCATTTTGTAATCAGACACAAACAACACAATAAAGCCTAGATAAAAGCAACTCTGCAAGCCCCACTCAAGTCATTTGATACATCAAGAAAACATGATATACTAGAGACAAAATCTCTGAACTTTCATTTTCTGAAATAAAGACACTCCCGGTCCTTTCAGAAGGCAGATCATCTGTTAAAATAGCTGCCTATTGAAAAAAAATAAATCCTTATCAGCATTTCAGGCTTTACTTCTCCTTGCTAATAGGTCTTGTTTCTTGGAAATGTGATGAATAAATGCCTTCAGAGTCACAAAAAAAGTACCGAACCACAAACTTATTTTTGCATCATGATTTTTCACTCTTCTCCTTGACTGTTGAGATAGCTCATACTGTCGCGTCTTTCAGGAATGTTTTCTTTTTAAATGCCCCTGATACACAAATCATGGTATTTGACCATCCAGTTAAGGAAAGGCCGTATGTAGCTGAAGCAATATTGAACTATGCGCCTATGAGTCAAACAGTTATTCATACACAGGATTATTCAAGAGGCCTAATGTTTGAATCATTATTTGTCAGAAAACTCAGTCTGTACAAAGCATTAGCTTCTAAGTGAAGCTCGTTTCAATTTTTTATCAGCTGCATTTAACGCTTCCTAAATTATTCAGTTCTATGTTCATTTTGGGTTCCACCAAACCCCACAAACCTATGGTCTTTTTTCCTACTGATTAGGCTATCCGTTTGCACAGATAGCTGTCCTGTTACTGCAGAAACTGCAACACTCAACTGCTGAAAAAGCTTTTGTTGAGACAAACGTTCAAGCAGGGCAAAAAAACAAGCCAACCCAAAACAACCATCAAAGAAATCCCAAACAACCCAAGTAAGTACAGTTCTACAAAAACAGTTGGGTCACATTACTGCATTTAACTCCGGAATTTTATGCTAATAAGTAAACACTAATGGTTAAGGAAATGGCCTTAGATGCATCATCCTGGAAAGCACAATGTTTCTGGACTTTAACTGAAGAGAAGGTAGAAAATCTCATCGTAGTTCAAAGACACAAAGAACAAAGATTCACTCTTTTCAGAAAAGAGCCTCAATGAATCTTGAAGCCAATATGAATACATACGTGCATTAGAAGTTCCCCATATTGCTTCCCCTACATCAAGTGGACTTGTTCCTGACAAGACTCTGAATAAAAGACACCAAAGACTTACTAAAACTTGAGGGGTGTGACACCAATACACTATACCGGAATGCAGGATTACCTCACTGTTACTTTAGGGCAAGTACTTCAGCCATATATTCTAGCTACCAGACCAGGAATCAGAGAGCTTCTAATTACCCATGACAAGCTCTTATTTGCAAACATCTCTGTAGACAAACCGATACCAATCCACCTCTAGGCGCAATGTGGGAGGATGCTGATGACATCTTTGAAAGGCTAATTGTATTTGCCAGAAGCCTGAGATCATCTCCAGCCCTTTGCTACACTGCCACCCATTTCTAGAAGGTGAAATCAAAGAATACCGAACTCCTTTACATCCAAGCTACTTCTCACTTTACACAAACAGGACTTGCAAACAAAGCTTGGTAAGAATTTGCCGAAATACTCATGAGGTAACAAAAAACAAGGCTGGGAAGTCATCTTGTATTAGGATTACACATACCTGTACCAACTGTGTGGTCACAACAGCCATGAAGCAGGACAGGACTCTGCTACTTTTAGTCTATAACCACATTACAAAGAGATGTTCCCTTCTTGCACAAGTTTTACTTTTCAGAGATTGCAAAACCGAACTTACCCAAAAGACGCAGCACTACCAGGACAGAGCTATAGACATGTATCTGCTAGGCAGCGATGGTCACCGTGATAAAGCACGCCCTCAATGCACTAGCGACATTGATATTGTCAAGAGTTGCCCAAAGATAAAACAAAAGAAACAAAAGAACCCAGCGGGTTTTTTTGGAAGATGCTGAGATATTCGTACGAGAGCTCACAGGCTGCTCACACCGAGACCTAGAGACATCCCATGAAACTGCAGAACGCTGCGCGCTGAAGACCAGTAACGGGCGATGGAAGTTCACATCGCCCGAGAGACGGGAGGCACCGGCGGGCGGCGCGGAGCGCTCCTTCCCGTCGGGGACGTCCAACATCAGATGCAAAACGAGCGAGCAGCCAAGCCGCTGCCCGCCCCCGGTCGTGAGGAGCCCCCTCAGCTCCAGCCCGCCCCCCCCCGCTCCCCGGCCCCAAGCAGCGCCCTCTCCAGCGCCCGCCGCCCCGGGGCACGGCTCCCGGCCCCAGGCTCCTGAGGGAAGCAGCAGAGCCCCGCAGCTCCCGCCCGCCAGACACCCCCCGATCCCTCTCCACACGCACGGGACTCCTCCGCCCGCCTCACAGCGCCCAGGTTCGGGGGGAGACCCGGTCCCGCTGAAGTGGTTCCGCTACAGAGCTCAATCGCCCATAGAAAAGGAGAAGGAGGAAAGAAGGAAAGGAAGGAGGACGAGAGGGCGCCCAGCGGGGGCACAGGGTCGCGCTCTGCCGCCCTTTACCTCAGCCGGTGGGTGAAGCGCTGGCGACCAGCACCGCCTCCCGCCACAGGCCCCGCTCCGCCACTTCCGGGTACCGGGGGAGGCAGGGCGGCTCCCATTCAGCTCGGCGTGCACATAGCGCAAGCGCCGCGCTCAGGACGGGCGGCTCCGGGGCGGGAAACGCGAAGCGTCGCTGCGGGGCTGAGGCTGTCGGTGCTCGGTTTGGCCCTGCTCCGTCTGCAGCTTCCCACAGAGGCAGCCGGTGCTGGCCGGGTGTTTTCTGAGGTAGGAAGCGAGGAGCAAGAACGGGCGGATTTGGGTGAAAGCCGAAGAACCGCAGTGCTGGGAGCGTCGCCTCACAGTGCTGCCGGGGGGGGGTCCCGCTGTGGTGCAGAGGGCGGTTCCGCTGTGGTGCAGGGGGCGGTTGCGGTGCTCACCGCCTTTCTCCAGCCATTTCTAGGAGCCCCGGCATCCCCACCGCCGCTGCAGAGAGCGGCCTCCTCTCACCAAGGGTCTGGGGAAGGTCTGGGCCCCGCTGTGACCCCCCCCACCTCCGGCTCGGAGGCTGGTTCTATTCTTCCGCCCCGACAGGGGGTGCGCTGTCGGAGCCGGAGCGCGGCCGGCGCTGCTCGCGCGCCAGCGTTCGAACGCGGCGGAGGCGGGAAGGAGCGGCCCGTTGCCGCTGTTGGCGGCTCCCGCTCCTCCCCTGCAGGATGTCCGCCGGCGGGAGCGGCCCCGGGGCTGCTGTGGCGGGGGGAGGAGAGCCCAAGACAAAGAGGAAAGGTGAGCGAGAGGGTAATCCCGCTCCGGCTGAGGCGGGAAGCTGCGGTGATCCCGCTCCGGCTGAGGCGGGAAGCTGAGGTGATCCCGCTCCGGCTGAGGCGGGAAGCTGAGGTGGGCCCGCTCCGGCTGAGGCGGGAAGCTGAGGTGATCCCGCTCCGGCTGAGGCGGGAAGCTGAGGTGATCCCGCCTGAGCTCTCTTTGCTCCTTCAGGAGGAAGAATCGTGAAGTCTCGCTACCTGCAGTACGAGAAGAAGGACGTCAAGAAGGACTCCCAGAGGCATTTGGATTCCTCCCTGGTGAGCTTAGGTGCTGTTCAGCGAAGGGGTGGAAACGATGAGGGCGGCTCGGACGTGTGGCAGCAAGACTGCTGGGGTTATGAGGGAGTTATGGGATGATGCGGAGATGCAGAGTGGGGTGGGAATTTGGAACAGTGCTCACATGACTTGTAAAGCACTAAACAGCCGTGGGATTATAGTTGTTTATTGTCAGCATTCAAGTGGGGGGTAAGACACAGTGCAGATTGCAGTCACAGTGTACAGTTCGGTCTTATCAGTTTCTTGATTGTCAGGGTGCTTCAGCAAAGTCCACTTCTAAACCGTCATCTGCAGTTACAGCAAGAACAGTTTCTTCTCGGAAATGTAGAACTCCTGCTGGTAGGTTTTACCAGAGTTTCAAAGCTGTTCTTTTGTGAATTTGTATTTCTAACCTGTGGAACTCTTACCAACTCTAAAATGTTGCTAAGAGATCGTATTTTGTATTAACTGCACTGCTGTCAGTTATCTGAATTAATTAATTTGATGTGGGATTAAGAGGGGTAAACTCAAGTGCATTAAACTCTTGTCCGGATCTGGAATTGCATCATTTGATTGTCTAAAATAAGCACCTCTCATGCCTTCTGCCTATGGCTTTGAACTGCTCTTTTACTGTGCCCTCACCATTGCTCTGCTTTTTTAAAATTTAGTATTTTCAATAAACCCAGTGTAAAGGGCTGAAAAATGCCTGTCCGCAAAACAGTTTTTATTTCTTTGGGTTGCAAAAAGCTTTCTGCAAGGCCTTGACTTGAAATATCCTGAAGAAATAACATTGTTCCCTTTAAACATGTGAGTGTTGTTGACCTGTGTTTAAGACAACAGCCTGCGCTAAGTTATCTCTGTGTAAGAGAGGGAGTATGCTAATGATGCATATAAAGTACGTGCGTAAAAACTTGTGTAAGGTTGCCACGTTACTGAAAGAATATGGAACTGTGAACTTGTGCGGAGCCTGTTCTAATTCTTTTAGTTTGATAACAACTTCTTTCTACAGGTGTTGCCTCCAGCTCATTAAATAAAGGTAGTTTTGAGAAATGTTACTTGCAGTCCACTTTACTAGATGAGGCTAAAGCTGATCTGCCGGACATAGATCTTTCAGCTGTTAGTGGTAAGCTTCCACTTATGCTCAGTTCCTTGTTTTATTATTTTTGCTGCATGTGCTGTAACTTGTGATAAGTAACCCTTGTATTCTTCTATATTCACAAAAAGATTTTGTTAAATAAGACTAATGTTATTTCAAGTGTCTTTAAGTGGAGGTATTAAGACCTCCAGGGTTTAAATTAACTTCAGTTTTAAATATCTTTTGTGTGTTCTTTTTGTTTACAATCAAATATTAAAGGACAAAGTACTCTGAATATTTGTTCCCTAGCACTGCACCAGCTACTAGGAAGGAGAAAAATAACTGTTACTGCTGAGCCCAGGACATATGTTAACCCATTGTATATACCTTGGTAGAAGAGAGCAATAACTTTTCTGTTATGATTCAGATAAAAGCACGCGCAAAAAGCCTTCTGATTCAGAACCTCCTCACAAAGAAGGTACACGTCAAAACTTTGAAGCAGAGGTGAGTCACTGCTTTCATTTGTTAAGCACATGTATTTTGAAATGCATGAAATGAAGATTTTGTCTTTAATTTTGATAACAACTGGGGTGATTATCCTGGGATGACCTAAAGTCAGAGGATAAGTCTTTTCTACTGATAGCGATGTTTGCGTTGCTTATAAGGTGCTCTAATGCTGTCTGAAGCTTTGCTTACATTTCCTGTGGTAAAGAATCTGCTCCAGTTGTAGCATCCCCTCAACTGGCTTCTTTTTGTATTCTTGTTATCTTTAAATATTTTCTGACATTTTTGCACAGATCACTAATGTTCATTCAGTCTAATTTGAGGTGCCTTGTTTAGGCATCTCATTCAACGTAGCACTGAAACTTCAAGTTCTCTACCAGTGTTACCTGCTGAAAATGCTTTGAAAAGTGGTGGAACAAAGAGGTATATTTAATTAACAACTTGTTTAAAAAAAAAAAACAAACTGTTTTCACTGAGCTGACAGTTGTTGATGATGATTCTGGGCACAAAATGGACTTTCAGTAATTTATTTGAATATGTAATTGTTTAAATACCAAAATTGATCTAGTATATTCTGTTCTTTTTCGAAGGAAAGTGATCCTGATGATGTAATAGAAGAACTGGAATCTCAGACACTGCTTTTAACTTACCTAAGACTAAAGGTGAGATTCAGTCAAGTATTCGGTGTTTCAGGTAGAAGAACTTGATATTGAGGAATTGTTTAACTTCTTGTCTGTGCCTTAAAAGCTGCATTTTGAGACTTTCTGTGTTGATGGTTATAAAATTGCATGACTTGCTTTGAAAACTCTTAGAGTGAATCCAACGTCGGTTTGTTAAGCTTTTGCTGGTCCTTCATGAGGTAGGGATGCACAGAAGTTTTGGGAATGCTAGAAAAGCGTTTGGAGTTCAAGGTTGTAGCAGTTACTTTGTTCGCTCAGTGTTGTACAAGTACACTTCTCCTTTACAAAAAACATTTGCGGGGTGGGGGAAGAAGATGGCGGGGATAACATACTGTGCTCATTGCATGAGGTCTCCAGTTCAGTAACTGAAGCTCTTTGACCTGGGCCAAGCCTTACATTTGTTTATTCAGAGTGTGTTAATTAACCTGGATATAGTATTAATTTAGCTGTGAATATTTTTTGGATGTAATAGGCAGAGAAAAACCTTGCCAAGCTGGAGAAAGAAGCAGAAAAAAACTTGTTAATGTTGTATGAAGAAAAGGAGAGAGAACATAAGAAGCTCTGTGAGTTGAAGCGTGACATTCTACTTCAAGAAAGAGAGCAGAAACTTAATGATGCATTAGACAAACAGGTAGGCTTTATTACAATTTATGCTTCTCCTGTATTTAAACAAGCTCACTTATGAGGTGAGCTTTGTTTCCTTTATTCAGGGGAGGTATCTGTGCTTCTGTGGCCTGCTGGGGTACAATTTTATGCGTCTTAAACAGAATAAATATGTACTTCCTCTTGTGGCATGTAACGCTCTCTAGTAACCTAAGCAAATGCCTTTGTCCTTGTTTTGCTGTCCCTCTTGGATAGTCAGGAGAATTTAGAACTGTCAGGCATGCAATAGGCAAACACTGATTGTCAGAGCAGTCTGCAGCTGGTGCATAGGAGATGGGAGTATCATAAGCCCCATGAGCATCCTGCAGTTACACAGTTGTGTCTAGAGCTGAGGTGCTAGCCCTGAGACGAGAAGTGAACATCTTTATTTGTCTTCTATTTAGATGTCGGACAGCAGTAGGTCTGGCCTGGTTGTAAGAAAGCAAGTTGCTAATGAATAACGAAGTTCTTTTGAGATTTAATTTTCAGAACTGAACCTGTGTTTGCTTTTGAAGACATGTTGGTTCCTCATGTCTTTTTCAGATGGATTTACTTTCTTCCCTTCTTCCTGTTTGTGAAGAACTTCAGGAGAAGTATAAAAGATTTGCAGTTTCCCTGGATGCCACTAGACATGAATTACCCATAAAGAATATTCACATAGAAGGAGATATGCAAAAATACCTTGGTATGAAAATTTGATTCATCAGACTTGCTTTTAACTGTATTCATGGCTTTCCTCCTCCTTTCTTCCTGATGAAGTAAGAAAGTTGCTGAAGTACTGTTATCTCTTATTTCTCTGTTAGAGGGGTAGACTTGCACATGTTTCTTGCAGAACTAGTGCTTGAATGCATCGTGTGTTGTCTAGAATCAGAGAATGTTTGTTAATAAATTAGTACTTGTGGTTTGTATTGAAGTCTGGACAAAGAGTTACAGTTTTAAACTGCTGGTGGGTAAGAAAGGAGATTCTTGGCAACGACTTAACTATTGGTATGTTATCAGCACTATTCTGAGATTAAAGCCAAAACACAGCACTGCACCACCTACTAGGAAGACAATTACTTCTACCCCAGATGAAACCAGAACAACAGGAAATTTTGAATGTTTAAAACTTGTTCTTTCTCTTGCATTTGTCATAAAAATCTTTGACATACTCTAAATAAGAGCTTGATTAGCCATTTTAATAGCCTCT